TGTAAAATTCATGTCGTGGATCCCGTAAATAATATTTCTAGTCTGACTTGTTGACTGCAAAATTGGCTGTGAATGGGTATACTCAGGGCAGCTAAAATTATCGTTTATAGCGACAAGATTTTCTGTCAATTTTCAAGAACTATAAAACGAAGAATCAGTGTTTAGGCCACGTAATCTTCAGACCGCACACGGAAAATGAGTAACTTTTGTCCCAGCAAATCTTTGAAAAGGAATAGACGAATATGTTAAGGAGAATACACGAGAAAGTGTTGATTCGTAATTTAAGAATTCATGAGGCTCGAAGCGCCAAGTGAATTCGTAAATTAAGAATCCACACTTGCGAGTGTATTCTTCGACGTAAACCATTGCGTCAACAGAAGAATTGGAAAGAATGCTGCAACCTGACGCCACTTTTTTTCTTCATATATCATCTCAATGAGGGTCATTCGTTGCAAAAATGATGATAAGTCATGAATCTGGGACTGAGAAATGTTTCCAATTTTGTTAGGAAATACTTGAAATGACTCTCCTTAGACTTTGTTCACAAGCGCGGAAGTGGCGTCAGGTTGCAACATTTTTCGCCACGCCCGTACAACCAAGTCATTTGTGTGTACAGGCTCCTTACGTCAAAATGGATAGTTCAGACGACGATTTCTTTCTGACTGAAAGTAGTTTTTGCAGATCTGACTGTGAAGATGCATTGGTAAATTTTCGGAAAGCAAATTTTCACGCAGACGGTCCTATTCATGCTCATTATGGAGACAATATTATTGTCCGACGTTCAGAGTATGGATTCGTAATTCCGAATCCACACTTTACTAAAGATTCGTCATTCCGAATCCACACTTTGTGACCAGTGTAAGAGATTCGTACATCCGAATCCACACTTTTAACAATAGTGCGACGTCATAGCAATGGTTTAAGGGCACGTAATCACATAAATGGTTGCGAAAGTGTTGTGCACGCGATTGTACAGAGCAACTGGTCCTGTACGCAGTATCTGAAAAAAACATAGCTAAACCTTCACTGTACGTTGGTCACGTGACCATGGACATTTGTCTAAATTGAATACCTGATGGGTTCAGGCAAAGAGAACATGGTTTTGCATCACTAAACTAATTTATTTGAAATGACCAAAATTCATTACATTCTCTTCACATGTAAGTATATCTACAACATTATCCCGCTACAATGGACTTGATGTACCATTATCAAAGGCATTTTAACAGAAGATGGTGGCCATTGTGAAAAATGGCGACCATTTGTATCTCAGAGGAAATCTGCGATGGCCCTATAGGCCCAATAGCTAAAAATGCAATTACTGCATGCCAAATATCATGCTTCTATCATCAAAGACACGATTTATGGACTATATACCTCGTCATTATAGTGATGTACATATATTCAGGTTGCTTAGATCCACTTTTTGACAAGATCGTGACCGACTGGTCCAAAGCACCAAACTTGGCAAATAGTTTCTTATAGCCATGTAGAAAATATTTAGAAGGGGTTATACATGAAATTCTTTTTGGGAAGGATGCCTAATCTACATAAATCATAAATGGCCACAATAATATGCATTTATTTACATATTTTGACATTCTTTGTTTGAGTATATGACCTCGATAACGTTAGGCTAGTCACTAAAACAAAACAAAAATCTGAAACACCAAAGAGTTAACCTAATCGATAGCCGTATTTAAAGCCAGAACTATTTAATCCATCATTAAGCCCCATCTACAACACGAGGAAGCATCTCACTAATGAAACTTTTAAATCGAGTATGTTTAAATTGCTATCAACGAAGAGCTGAGACCTTTTTAAAGGATGAAGTTATTTTGTTTACTCGAATAAGCTTAGCAAAATGAAGTGGGACGTACAGATTGCCCTACATCTCTCCTTAACTTCGTTTAAATGAAACTAAAAATATCATACATTTTGGAAATCCAAATTTAACTGCTAGATTGTTATACTCATAACTGTACACAATTATTCTTTATAACATTATGTAGACCATCACTGACAAAACATGATTATTGTTAATTGGGTCCGAGTTGGATATGGTCCGAGTTGTTTTTGGTCCAAGAGGTCTTGGTTCAAGTCTTGATCCCAGTTAGTCTTGATCCCAGTGGACTGGGTGCGAGTTGGTGCATGCGGGTCCGCGATTTCACGGCCTCCGACTTCGTGGTATCCAACGAAACAGACATGATACCGGCCATTTGGGGAAAGGACAGTTATTTACAGTGAAAAATGTGTACTGAATTCCCCGCAGCCACCACCAGACTGTCCTCCTTTGCAGGAATTGCAATACCGCGTGGGGAGCCGCAGTCCTGAACCAGGCACCGGACGTATTTACCGTCTAGGCCAAAGTGATGGATTTCCCCACTGGAGGACCCGAGCCCACAGACGGCCAAGTAGATGCTGCCATCCCCGCCGCAGCAAACCCCGGCAGGCCCCCAGTTCCGGGCCATGCTCTGGTTGGTATCCACGCAGAAGACGAGCTTGCCGTGGTAGTCCACTGCAACTAGCTTCTTCCTGTCCCAGTTGGTGAAAATGAGCCTCTGCCTAGAGGCCGTCAGGTTCTCGATGGTCATGGCGGCGGGCACTCTCCTCAGTAGAGACCCATTCGGATGATGCAGGGAGATCTGCTCAGTTTTCTCGTATCCCACCGCAATTAGATTGCCATCGTCCACGGCCAGGCACGTGGGTTTGCTGTGCGGCCCTTGACGGGTGTGAACTGATGAACGAGCTTGTACATGCGCTTCCGATCGAAGATCTTGACCAAAGGGCCGTCCAGCGTCAGAAGCTGATCGTTCTTGTTCACTGCAACGCAGACTGGATTTAAACAGTTGGGTTGCAATGCGATTGCGTTAGACTCGAGGTTGGATGGCTGGATTTCAACCAGCCTTTTGTGCGCAGTGTCTGCCACAACGATCTCGCCGGTTGAGTAAATCCCGACGTTGCAAGCCCATCTGAAACCAGTCCGTGTTGGGCCAAACGTCTGGACTCGTGCCTTGAGTTCCCACTTACGGTCTTTTGTGCTGACAGGTTGATGTAAATCGTCTGATTTTAATCTTGGTCTAGCTTCTGGCTTGTCCAGCAGTCTTCCAAGTGGCAGCACGTCCCGGCCCCAGACTTCAAAGTCCAAGAATGACAGCTTGCTAGAAAACTTCCCTTGCTGCTTTCCAATCAGGTCTCTCTGCGACTGCAAGAGAGTCTGCAGTTCTTGCAAGATTCTGTGCCTGAGATGCACAATGGCGTGGCAACCCAGTTGGGACATTAGTTGGTTTACCTCATCCAGTTTGTGTCCTGCTTCGCTCACCTCCTTGCGGCTTGTAGCTTTAACACTTTCAAATGTCTCGACTCTGTCATTGTAGATCGTCACTGCCTCTTGCTTCAGTCTCTGCTCCTCTCCTCTGATCATTGCAATATCCTTGTCCGCTTTCTCTGAGATTTTCCTCTTGGTGATTTCAAACATGGCATCCAATTTCTGCTGGGACTTGTGTACGTCCTCCACCCCGATTCTCATTAGTTCTGTTATGGTCTCTTTCACTTTTGTAGCCAGGTCCTTTACGTCTCTCTTGCACTTTTCCAAAGCCTCCGGCAGGCCAATTTGGTGATGTCCTCCGTGATGCAAATCAAAGCAGATTTTGCAAACGAGCATCTCGCACGTGTTGCAGTAGAAGCGGAGAGTCTGATCTGGATGCTCACCACATTTTGGCTCATCTCTCTGTTTGCGAACTTCTCCCAATCGAAGCTGTTCAGCGTGCAGATTTGATGCGCTTTCATCAGCGCCAGGCGCTGGTGAGCTCGTTGGCATTCTTCGCAGAGGAAATGATCGCAGTCCATGCACTTTGATACGGCCTTCATCTTCTCATCGCAGGCTTGACATTTGACCTCTAACCCTTGACCTTGCACGAGTTGATCCTGTAGCGTAAACCCACTCAGGGTACTTAATATAAAGTCATCTGGTAAATGTTTAACGTCATCATCATCTTCTGCCTCAGTTCCACGCCCACACGTAGGACACGTTAGCTTGGTAACCCGCGCGTCTTCTTGGCGTTGTCTGAGCTGAAGGAGACATTTCAGGCAGAAACTGTGTGAACAGTCGAGAATTTTGGGTTCCTCGAAACGGTTCCTGCATATGGAACATTCTTGGATCTTGCCCAAGAATGATTCAACTGACGCACTGGATGCCATTCTAGGTCACCTTACTGCTTCTGTAATAAAACAAGAGAGATTTGGGAAAGAATTATAAAAAGCCCAATTTTATGGAATTCCATTACTGCCACGTACGCGGCGCATGTGTAGCACTGTTGCCTGGGTCATCAGCCACTTCCGCCTTCAACGACGCAAAGTCGCGTCGTGCCGTCGCATAGTCGCGTCGTGCCGTCGCATTGTCGCGTCGTGCTGTCGCATTGCCGCATTTTCGCACAGTCGCATTAGTTTCGGGTCCTCAGCCACTTCGCGTCATGTCGTCGCATAGTCTTGTCGTAGTCACGTTCCCACTTTGTCTGGCTGGGCAATGTGGGAATTCTAATACTGCCCGGAAAGAAGGAATACATCCAAAATTTACATATTGACAATTGTACGAAGTTTTCAACGTACTTTGATGATTGTCATGCGAACATTGACACAGAAGCATACTGTGCCCATCCCAAACGGCCAAAAATGTCCATTGTTAATATTCCTTCATTGCTATGCTACTGAACCTGGTCAAAGTCTGAATTTGCGTCCATTTAGATGTAATTACTACAGATAAGGGGTGTTGAACCTACATCGCGCAACTACTGAACCTATTAAGCAACATTCAACACCCCTTATCTATAGCAAATTGCATCAGAATTTACCGAAATTCCCACTTTACCAGGGGATGATAGTAGGGCAATGTGGGAATATTACCAATGGGTACATTGAACATCCCTTATCTACAGCAAATTACATCAGTTTTTCACTCACTATAGTACAGCATTACTGTATTGTGGTTGATTACTAGTCTTGTATGTGCTAGACTTAGTATAGAGTTCGATAGACTTGTGATTATAATTCATGTTACTATAGTACCCAAAGCAACATATTTGTTTTTCTTTGGGAGACTGCTCAATTACTACTCCAGTATACACATAACGCCCCTGCTTTAATAAGGAACTGCAAATGTTTCTGGGTGTGTTATTTCCTAAAGACCCATCGGATACACTTTGAATTTCGTTTACGTCGGATGCAATGACTTCTCTTGTAATCGTTTATTTCGTAGTAGCCCTACTTTCTTTCTTTTTTTCTTTCACGAATGAACACATAATTTTCTGCACACAGGCCTTTCCGCACCGTACCAATATTTACAACTAGCAAAGATGTGTAATAGTTTATACTCACTCTTACCTTTAAGGAGAGATGTTTCAGAAGTCCACAGAGGATTAAATTCTGTTTGAATGAGCTGCAGAGTCAGGGCCGATCCCAGTTACAAACCAAAACGCTTGCGGAATGCTAGACGGCAGTTGGTAAAAGATAAAATCGCGGGAAATCAGGGGACAGTCCCAATCTAGTTTAAGTTGAAAAGATTGAACAATATGCTTTATGTATTCTGTTGACCTAGGTGTCAAAGGTAGGTTTACCCTCGATGTCGTCGGAACAAAAGATTCAAAGGAAGGTTAAAAATATTCCTGGGAGTATTTCGACGTGGTGCAGTCAACTGAAACTCTATGTATTTGGCTTTAGCTGCAAGCAAGTTGTTGCTCATACTTCCTATGTTTGGTTCCTTTCATTTCTCTCTTTCATGTCTCTTGGTGGTCGGTTGGTCTGTCCCCGGGAAATTGACCAAAACTAGACCCCATGAGTTCTCAATTTTTATTTTAAAAAAAATAAATAAATAAATAAAATGAATACTTAACAAAAATTGTTTGTAACGATTGGGAAAGATGTTTATGAAAAGTTTGTAAAAGGAGGCAAAATACGTACAGTAATGTTATAGTCACGTGGTATTTATCACAAATCGCTACAAATCAAATCCAGGCATGCATTTAAAGCATGGTGTTCTATTATGTGCCATCGGCGTCGCATTTTTGGGCGTCGCATTTTCAGCTCTGGCAAGGATCATTTTGATAGATATCATGCAAGACTTTCATGCAAGAAGGCCAGGAATAGTTGTGCACTCGCACTTGTTTATCTTGTTTGTCCTTTTTCTTCGTCCAACAACAAACTTTGCGGTAACGATAATTCTCTGTGTGTCGAATAATTCATGAAGTCCAAATTTCATAGGACACCGCCCTTAAAATGCGCGTAGTAGCGTTTGTGCATTGTCCAATGCGCGCGCGCATCATATCCAGTAGAATAACCATTATCCACACGCGCATCAAATCCAATGTGCGTATTGTGCGCGCATGTATTTGCTTTCAAATTTCCTGCGCAAATCGATCACGTTCAGTCTGCTGCTACATCCTGTCAACTCTCGGTAAGTGGACACAGTTGCATTCTTTTTTCGACAGATTTACCGATCATTTTGGTTGATTTACAAAGAAGCGTTTAATTGTGTACGTGCCATTTCAAGAATTGCATTAGATTCGTACTCCTTCAGAACGTCAATAAAACAGTTTCTCCTTGGGTCAATCAGCGCTACATAAACTAAACCATTTGTGCTTTCAAATTTCAGTGTTGTGGACCAAGAACGTGTTTCACTTGTTGCTTAAACTAGCGGCTGTTTGCATAATATTTTGTTAATCTCAAACTTCTCAGTCTTCTTGTAAGTGAAGCACAAATTAATAGGCCTAATTGGCACAATGGAATGGAATCTAGGTTAAAAAAAAAAACCCATAGGCCTAATTTGAAAAGTTGTTGTAGAACGCATGCGCATAATTGTATTTGTGACGTCATTATTGAAAAATTCATATCCAAGTTACACGGGTGCACAAAGTTTGTGTTGTTATCAACATTAGGTCAGAATAGTATTTGCGTTTCTTGAAGACAGTTCGTCTGAATTCTACGGAGACTTTTGCTTGAGTTTCATACAGCGATTAATAGCGAAATCTTTCGACATGTTTGACCAACCACAGCAGTGGCTTTTGGTTTTGACTTTCAGCATGTTGACTGGGCCGTTTTTCGAGCCTAACCCGGAGCCCAAACCACCGGCACCGAACCCCTGGCAGCCACCGTGTCAGTTCAACTCCACACGCGGTATGTTGCCGATTGGATCCAACAACAAGACGCATGGTCCTCTGGTCGAGCAGGCGGAGCCATTACTCGGCCATCACCAGGGCATCGTCATGCCGAATATCAGCCGGTTGATGACGGAGCCGGTCCGCCTGGTGGTCGCGGACCCGCTCTTTCCCGCCCTAGCGGTGGAAGCAGCACCACCACTCATGGCACCAGCTCGACCTAGCAGCGTCGTGTTTAACAGCAGCCTCTTGACGATGAAGGCCGTCCGTCCAGAAATATTGGACATGCCCTTCCTGCCTCCATCAGCACTACCACCGATATCTCAAACTGCAGCATCACGTCCACCGCTTCGTCACATACTTCCAAGCCGGATGTCACTCGTCATTAAAGTGCTCTGTTCTAGTGTTGGTGTCTACTTCATCAGCGACCTGATGGTCGTCCTGTCTGCCGTCCTTTCCACCTTCGGCGGCATGACTCGGAAGATTAAGGCGGCCTTCTCCTGCCTGAAGGATTGGATCTTTGCCAAGATAAAGATGATCCAGTGGCTGCATCTGAGACCTCATCCATCCAACTTAGAGGTCGTACTGGTTGAGCCATCTCAGCTCCCAGGAAATCCGGAGGAAGACGACAGTAATACGACAGGTTAGTTTAACCACGCTGAAGTTAAATATGTATCTTATTTTTTTATATTTCTCCTGACACTGATTTTGTTTGTTTGTTCGGTATTTTTTCGCTGTCTTAAAAGTTTCAAACTTTTAATAATTGAAGTTAATACAAAATGACCGAAACCTACATGTATTATGTTTTTGATTTGTTCAGGTAAACATTTTTGTGACAAAGATCTTAAAATGAACAATACATTATCAACTTTTGCTACTTCATTCTTATTCATTCTGACTCCATCTGTTTCCTTACCAAAATTATATTTCAACGACATGTCCTCTCTAATGATGTTTTCAGGCTCTGAATCCCCAGTTCTTTTGTCTTTCCAAATGCCAAGTCGAAACTGCCATTCAATGATGAACAGTTTTAATCCGTTCTCATCTTTGTTAATTTCGACAGAGCCTGAAGTGACTAATTCACGCCCAATAGAAGGGAGAGTGACGGTGATTTTCCCAGCTCCTCGGCGGCTTGTTAACTCGGAACCACAAGAAGACAAAGAGGAAGGCAAAGAGGAGGACAAAGTGGAAGACAAACTGGAAGATAAAGAGGAACAGAACCCCTTGCCTCCAGACCCTCAAGAGAAAGACAGCGCCGATAAGTAAGTGTTGTCTTACATCTTTAGATATTGGTTTCAAGTGGTTTTAGATAAAAAAAAAAAATTAAGTAGTTCTGACCTAACTAACTAGCCATAAACAAAGTTTCCTCCTTATAGAAAGTTGCCTGATTGCACTTCAGGAAAACACATCTGTTTTCCTTTTCATATCAATTCATTTGTTGAAGGGTGTTCAGGCAACATTCGAAGACTAGATTCTTTTTTTTTAAGAACTTGTCTTAAACTTTTTGTTTTCATTCACTTTTTATCTAAATTTTGACGGCTGGAACTGATATGAGCAAAAATAAATCACTTTTGACGAGCTTTCATAAAACTTGAAATATATATGCGCAACGTATTTTCCACATGAATTGATTGATGAAAAATTGAAGTTAACTGATTAACCTTCAACGTAAATCCAATCGGTTCAATATGATGTTAGCAAATTAAAATGGAGCTACATGTATGTATATTTTCCCAAACTTTCACGTTTGCACAGAAGATTATGGCATCGTTATTTACTTTTCTTGAGAGGTTTTGTGCAGCGCCAACTATACAGAAAGATTCTAAGAATTGTTAAATGTTTGTGTCTAATTTCAGATCTGACTCTGACGACACCACGGAGGTTCTCGTACTCAAAGTGAAAAATGGTCTGATGGGCAGAGTTATTGGCAAAAAGGTAAAAAGAAATTGAAATTCAAAACTACTCATTACTCATAATAATATCTGTATTGAATAATGTTTTGTTGAAAAGGAGTCTGAAGTGATATATCGCCAACCTTTTGGAGTATTTTTAACTTATTTATTTATTTAAGAATGGGGTGGGGGAATATTTTGAAGATTACACATTTTCATGTCTCATTTCGAATACTCGGAAATGCTTATAACAAAAATTACGATCCTGACAACTTTGGGGTCTTAATTCACTCTCTGTTCACCGGTCTGTTACATTGTTGCATGCATGGACAAATTTTCTCTGAATGTTCTGCACTGATGAAAAAACCCAGATTATTCATCAATTTTCATCAACGGACCTTCGAGACATATTATTTTCTTTTCGGATAGCTCTGGAGCAAGCTAGAAAAGTCATTATTTCTGTACAAATTGTTTTGGTTTGTTTTGTTCCTGGCCGTGTAGGGCTGCATCGTGAAAACCATGAAGAGAGACCTGAACCTGTGCATCATGTATGGCAATCTGGATGTGGGATGTTCCTTCTTCCGTGTGGAAGGTACATATCCAGGCAAATTCAAAAACTTTGCCCAAAACTGGCTTGCCGAATTAAAGGGCATATAATTATGTAATGTTATTTTGTTAACGCAAACCTTGAAGATGCGCCTGTGTGTCCCAATTAACTTATTTTCAATTTTTCGTTTTGCTATTTTTAAAGGCTTTTTGGTGCGTTTTTTGTTTTGATGCTAATGCGAATTTCCATATTCATAAGCAAAAGCGTGATGTCATTTCAGGCAATAACCTCCATTTTACAGCCATTACAGCATCACCATTTGCCAGAATTTCGGGACATTTTGCGGTTGTAAAGTTTCTTTTCTTTGGTGAATCGTTGTTGTTTGGGCACAAGACAGTTAGCCAATGAGCAAAGTTTTCTCACAACAAATGTTTCCAATGAGCAAATTGTTGGTTCACACAGAAAACCCCTGAAGTGACCAGCGTCTTCCTGAAATGACATCACAGCAACAGTGCCCACATTTGTCATGAAAAAGCATGGAAAATATTTTTAAATTTTATCGAAGAGTGCACTTTTTTAAACATTTAATAATGTTTTAAAAAGTGCACTCTTCGATAAAATTAACTAGAAAGGGGTGTCAAATAGATTTCAAACATTTAAGAGTATAAAATTGCGCAAAATATTTTCCCAAATAAGATGCATGTGATGGCGCTTTAAGTTAGTTTTATGAATGGCCGTTTAGATTAGCTAAATAGTAGTACATGTATCATTTTATGGATACAAAAATCCATAGTGAACGCTGAAATAGTGCGCAGTTTGCATTACCTACACTACAGTATAATTGGCCATTGCAAGAAATATTACAGTACCTTATCTATAGGTTAATTGGCAATTGTAAATTGAGCTGCACATTAAAGTATGGTATATTAGTAAATTATAATTTCTTTCTTTGTCTAACACAATGACCGGGACATGGTGGCACTGTAGTTTTTCGATTGTATGAAAACGATAGCTCAATGATTCCAAATTGCTTCAATCATAATTTCCTCAGAAGAATTGGCAATGTAGGCCTATTTATTAATTTATTAATTATTAATTTTTTTGTTTTAATTTTCCCTCCACAATGAAGGACCATCCTCTGGCGTTAATGCGGCCAAGACTATGATCTTCCAGCGAGTAAAGTCGGTAAGTTGACACTACATGTGCCAAATACGTTCTTTACATTAATATTTCCATTAATATTTCCTCTTCTTGCTTCACGAGTCACTTCATAAATGAAACTGATTTCATCTTTCTGTGGCTTGATACAGGGTCTGGAAGAAATTGACCCAATGGAGATAGCACACCGTGTATCGCAAGAACGCATCATCAGGTATATACACGTGTTTTTGATATCACATGATTGATAACAACACTAAAAATGGGGAAATAGATGTGTAGTGGACGACATTTCATTTCTGACTTCAAATAAAGTATACTTTTACCAATTATGAATTGTTTGTTTCCTTTCCAGCGTTCAGTACACGTACTCCAGATGTCACCACGGACGGGTTGTGGGCAAAGACGTATGTATAATATGATTCTCCGAACTTGAGTGAATATCAATGGATTTAGAAAATACAAAATTACATTATTCATAAATCCGGTAAACATGGATCAAGGTGACCAATAGAAGTAATCTCTGCCGTACGCACATATTTAATACATGTTACTCTATTCAGATTGACGTTTTTGCAGACTTAAAGTCTTGAACTTCTTTTTCGCTGCTATTATGTGGTATCTGTTAAGTCTTAATCAAGTAACGGGTTAGATGATGACGGGTTAGAATTATGTGCGGTATGCTGCCACCATTTCAGTCTTGTTCCCAGTAGCCAATGAAAGTACTGAATGACATTGTTTCGTGTGCAAAAAGGAACCAGATCTTTTTTTCCTTTCAGCCTCGCTTTGGTTACGTTGATTTGAATGGGGAAAATCAAGATGGCCGCAACATGATAATGGTCTATTATACTTGATGTAAATTGATGCAGTCGGACTGATCTAGAAAGTTGGTATAGTTATAAGCCCTTGCAACGTGCAGAGCGCATTGCGCAATATTTGAGTTTCTACAGCTTCTTCTCAGAATCTGAGCTTTGAAGTCACATGATTTCTTCACCGCAAAGAAATTGTGCACTTGTTGTCCTTACAGGCACGATGTCTCAAAGGATTTCGAGCGATGGGTGTCAAAACCATGACTAACACAGTCGGGGAACTGAACCACCTAGAGCTGACAGGTGATTAAATGTATACATTTCAAAGTTCAAACGATCATTCAAAGGAGATACAAATGCCGATTCAGAATGACAAAGGACCAACCCCAGACACAATTCCTGCGTCTTTTCTTCACAGGAAATGCAACCAATGTCAGAGAGGTGCAGCTGTGGATCATGGAGAACATGGACACGCCCTTGTTCGCCACCATTCCCGATCTGATTGAGGCACCGAAGGCTCAGGCTGAGGACGATGAGGGCGCCTCTGCCTCGGCTGCAGCTGGACCCGAGTGATGAGACAAGTCGGATCCCAGACCTCATCAATTGATTTGGCATCATCAAATGGCTATAAACTTCCGACAGCATGCAGCTCTAGTCTGAAACATAGACACTGCAGGATCATAAGCCTGGTTCATGCGCACCACGGTCGATCGATCCAGATGCATAGGCCTCCCCGACTCCCCGGTCACCAGACTACACCTCCTGCATGCCCGATAGCATCGAGTCTGGTTCCCTGAGCATCAGAGCACTGGTTGCGGTGGCGGGCAAATCCTGTCATCATTGTAAATATTGTAAATAAAAAAGTACTTAAAAACAAATGAATTTCGTAGCAAATTTATAAATTCTACAGGGTCTTATCTTGAACAGCATTGCAAACCTGGGCAATTGTTCATCTACTCAAACTTTAATAATGTACTAACTCCAAATGTCAAGCGAAGGTTTACAAGTAATTATCAGTACAACGTGGTTGTTGGACTGGTCCAAGTTTCACTAATTTAGCTTAATTCATCCATTGTATCTATAAGAAAAACAACCCTTTTTGGGGGGGGGGGGTTCATTTTTTAAACAAGTAGCTTTCATGAAGTACAAACCATTCCCAGGACCGAATTTAGCGTTTTGTAGGCTCTAGGCTCCAGTGTTTTGTAGGCCCTGCTCAGCCCTAGGTACCGATTTCACAACGCTGGTAAGCGCTGGAGCCTTGCATTTCGTATTGGTGCTAAGCAGTGCTAAGCAAGCCAGGCCAAACTGGTAGCTTACCCATAAGCTGGACACGCTCGTACGTGGACACAGTACACGGTGGTACAGTTTCAGGTACCATTATTACGATTTATTTCGCGTTTTGAAATTCGCGGTCACGTGTGTTTCATCATATGTACCTGTGCACCACTTAGTTCAGTGAACGCAATTTTAACGAAATGACGTAGGTCGCTTTAAAACGTGCGTCGTATGACACCATGCAGCACCTTTGATCAGCGGGAAAATGTCTGTAAGTTAGAGACAGTCGGAACCTATGAAAATGCATGAGAACCTAAAATATAGATTTTGCAAGCATATCGTGAGCTCAGAATGTCTAAATTTTAAAACCATTCTAGAAAAAGGAAGAAATATTAAAGAAAAAAAATAACGATCTTTATATACACACACAGTTTCACAGCCCGCGTAAATGACCGACATTTTCAAACTTTTCTCCGTTTTTCCTGAACAAAGGACGTACACTGCTATGCGGATAAAGAATAGATGAAAATCACGATATCATTTTCAAGTTAATTATCTGGATAGGATAGTTCAAGAAAGAACGACTTTTCCATCGGTGTTTCTTCTCAGTACAATAACCTTCGCTCAACGCACGTACCTGTGTGGGTAGCGGGTCAACTTGTACCCGGGTCAACTCGTACCCGAGTCAACTCGTATCCCAAAACTATAACCCAAGGGCCTCGAAATTACTCTGAAATCAAATACAGTAAAAAACTAACTTTGCGGCAGACATCATTGATTGAAATTGAAAAATAACTGATTTCCCCTTCAAGATTTCCACTGCAACTTAAGTGTTTGGAATATCGTTATGCTGATGACGCTTACCAGTGCACTATTCATGTGTGCATGTGTGACAGTTCGCGGAGTCACACAGCCCGACCATGGCCAACATCATGTGTGCACCCAAGTCATGTACACGACATACGCACGTACGGCAATTGTTCGAAGGAAACCACACAAATGACACACCTAACAAACGTATTCGACAAACCTATTCGCTATCACTCGCAAATCCCATAATGACATTTTAAAAACCGTATTTAAATACTGCGATCAGTGTTATGTTTTGGAAAACTCAACATTTCAAACAATCCAATATCTATTGACCTTCATTTTAACCCGTGAATGACACGAAAATGGAAAGTAGACTGTCTGTCTAAAACGACTTTTTCTTCAAAACTTAGAATTTAAATTCGACGTTTTCACACAAGTTTGAATAATCAAGGTATTAAATTTAATCCAGTGACATTTACTTCACCTTCACATTCGGACTTTCGTACAAAACCAGGCTACTTGTTCGATCATGTTTGTATTCCCATCGCGTGCTTGCGTGAGAACGAAATTGACAACGACGTAAAGATTTACCTACCTACATCCGATGGATTCTAGATTCAATCGTGCTCGTTTGAATAACGCTTTAATACAGTTCTTATCAACGGTCATTTTAGATTGGTTTGTAAATGTGAATTAGTCCCTCAAGTTTATTCAAAAAAATTATTGTGTGTCCCAAAAGACATTTAAGCCTCCTTCTTTCAGTTATTTTTTACTCAATTACCGCCACAAAATTGTTTCATAAATTTCCATTATGATCCTTGTACGAGAGCTCCAAGTTCCACGAGTCCACTTGTATTTTAGATTTTTGGAAGTGAGGGGTGAACTTTTGGCACGATATTCCTCTTTCACGTCATGCGATTTTTTTTTATGGAAACTGAAAAATCTTGCTACTAGCGCGCTTGTAACAATTTTACAAAGGCCTTTTTCCGAAGGTGATTTTCTTAAGAATCAATGTACCATAAATTATTCCAAAAACTCCAACTTTTGACACGCTAAATTTCCTATTTGAGGGAAGCGCGCCACCAGGGTTCAACTTTCAGGGTCTATTGTGACAACAATGGTGACAACCCACCGGTGATCTCCATTAGAAAATTTGTTTGAACAATAACACTGGTCAAGTTTGTCCGCCTGCGCATGACACGTGCGTTGGATGAGCTGAGGCAGTTAGCGCCCCACAATGCTTTGCACGCCTGCGCTTCAGTATCACTCATTTTTCTTATGTACTTGCTAGTTTGAAGCTTTCCCAGCTTTAAAACTTTTAAAAACATTTTGTTCTTGTCTATATCTTTGCTAATGTGCATCGCCACGGATCATCTACATTTTGATAGATAAAGCTAAGCAAATGTCACTGGATGAAAATTAATACCTGGATTTTTATTTTATGCACTGTTTCTGTGATTTAATTCGACGTTTTCAAGAAAATTTCGTTTTAGACCGTCTGCTTGCCATTTTCATGCCATCATAGGTAAAGTTTGAAAATAAAATAATAATAACTAGAGATTTTCGTTTGTCTTTCTAACAAACGCAGGGTGACACATTCGGCACTGTCTAACTCAGTTTTAATATTTAAGTATAATGCAAAAATCAGGAAGAGTATAGATTTCAAACGGTTTGGTTTCAGCATTTATTATTGTAAACAAATTCATCATGCACGTCACTTCCTCGGGTTTTTCGCCGGGCAGTCTCAGGAGATGGCCTGTCCACTTCTTCTGGTAATGGCAATACAAGGGATCTCGTTAGTTTTCTTGTAGAGTTCTTTATTTGCGATATTCTTTGGCCATTTAAGGATTGAATGCAAGAGCCTTCTGTGAAAGGCATCAATGTTTTCTTATACAGTGACCTACGTCTTGAGTTTCGTGTTGTGGGAGATTGCATCACTGTTTAGGCCTTAATGAATTTGTTGAAAGATGCCATCGAAAGTATTTTCTTCCTGGTAATATCTTGCTCGGTGTCAAGTAAAGATCCTAAGTACTTGCATTTCTTCCAACTGGTGATGCTTCCGTTTTTACTGATGTGGTGTTTCTCTGTCTTAGAAATGTTTACTGTGAGGTTTCGCTCTTTCAGTACCCCAGGTGCCTTCCTCTCCACAGCTGCTATCGGGTGGATATTGTTACTAGCCCAAGTGATGTCATCAGCATACTCCAATCCAATATCAAACTATTCTGGAGTGCAATGGCGTAGCTGTGGTTCTCAAGTTCCACGGGAAAGGATTGGAACTGTGCCTAGCGTGCAGTAACATATGATACTGAAGAGTGGATGGTGTCTCGGGTGTTTCCGGGTGAAGTTGTCTCAGTGCTTTTGCAAGGTGGAGAATGGGACTGAGGCAGTCTCCTTGAGGCACGCCGATGTTGGTTTTGAAGGGCTTACCCAAGACAGTTCCTACTCTGACGTGTAATCGAACGTCTCTAAGCAAGATTGCCAGCAAGTGGAGTTCGTCTTGCTCTTATATCTCTTTGAGATCCTCAAAAAGAACTACTCTCCTCATCGAGTCAAAAGCCTTTGAAGTGTCGAGCAATGACAGCGTGGTGGAGTTCATAGCTATCGCCGCGGCTGTGATCATGGCCTTCTCTGCTAAGATTTTTAAGGCAAAGTTCTGCTCAGTGGTGCCTCTGTATACATGCCGTGTCGATAGGCTGCTTGAGAATCTGGTATGTGGTCGTCTAAGCTGTCGGCGATTCTCTTCGTCAATGGCCATTATTTTCCGGATAATTGTCTAAAGAATGATTGGTCTTAATATGTTTACTCGGAGGTCCTTTTGGTTTGCCTGGCTGAGGAAGAGGAACGAGAATACCTTCTTTGATGTCGTCAGGGTAGATGCCAGTGCTAGCGGTTTCATTCAGAGTTCGGGCAATTTCTTGAGCAATTATCTCGGGTCCATACTTCAGCAATTCGGCACTGAGAATATCGTTGCCAGCACTTGTGCACTTTTTTAGTGATTGAATCGCTTTTTAAAGTTCTGTCTTGGTGAAGGGCTTGCTCATCATCCGTGGTGGAAATTCTTCAATTATAGCTTCATCATCCAAGTCAAACTTGCTTTAAAAAAAAAATCTGATGATCTGTTCTTGGCCAGCTGTATCCATAACCATGTTAGTTACCGCCTTCGTCTGCAACCAAGATAGGGTTGCCTCTGCTGTATATTTCTGAAGCATAGCACTTTGAAGCATAGCACGAATGGAACCGAAAGTGGACGCAACTTGAGTGTTTAGCCATTGGGCGCTTGTAATTTCAGTGGTGCGTGCGCGATGACTCCAAGCGGCCTGACTTCCATCTTTGTCTCTTTGCCACTGTAATGTCAAATTCTGTGTGCCAGGAGCTATGGGGATGAATCGGCAGAAGTCGCATGTCTGTCAAGCAGTTGAGTAGTCTCTACCGGAGCAGATAAATTTGTATCTGGTTCCATGACATACCACTTGGAGGTCGGCTAGTCGCTATAGACCATTATCATTTTGTGGCCATCTTGATTTCTCCCATTCAAATCAACGTAACCAAAGTGAGGCTGGAAGGAAAAATAGTCTGGTTCCTTTTTGCACAAAAAATATCATTCTGTACTGTTATTGGATACAGGGAACATGACTGAAATGGTGGCAGCATGATAACTGTCTACTGGACTCAGTAAAAATCAAGGTCAACTGATGTTGGTACTTTCAAAATGTCGTTTTAGACAGTCTGCTTTCCATTTTCGTGCCATCTTCGGTAAAAAAAATCAAGGTCAACTTTAATGGGATTTTTTGAAATGTTCTCTAGTTTTCCAAAACATACCACTTATCACAAAATTTGAATAAGGTATTTAAACATGTCATTATACAAATATAACATGGTTTGAGGGTGGACAGTCGATATTCGCTCCCCGAGGTATTGGAAGTTGACAAACTAGTTCCCGAGGCGAAGCCGAGGGAACTAGTTTGTCAACTTCCAATACCGAGGGGAGCTAATATCGACTGTCCACCCGAAATAAACCATGTTATATTTGTTTTACTATACCTCATACATATTCAGTTGCCGAATTTTGTTTTATTATTATGCACCTAAAACAAAATTCGGGGAAACTTGTACAGCTCACCAAAAGATTCAGCTTCAATTACTAGTTCGGTTCGTTTGCAATATAATACAGTTACTACAGTTGTAAATACAGTTGTTTGCAATGTATACAACTTTCTTTTGTACAGGAGACATCTTTACACGGTCTATACATTTTCTCCAGTACGGCATCATTGAGCTCTGGAAATTAACATTTACGCGAACCGTGCAACCATGCATCTCTCCTGTGCGATGTTCGCGCGTGCGTATTGCACCCGTGCGACAGTTCCTCGATTGCTCTGTAAAGCGCATGCGTAGTAGACTGTCGCACGGGTAACCCATGCGACAGTCTACTACGCATGCGTATTTACAATGTGCGTGAATCCTCGCGCGCGCGTTTGGTAAACAGCAAGAATAACATCTGGCACGTGATGGTGAATTGACCAGTGAACGTTCGGCTCTCGATCATGAATATGTATGAGGTATAGTAATATGGGATTTAGAATAGGTTTGCGAATACGTTTGTTAAGGTGTTTCATTTTGTGTGGTTTCCTTCGAACAATTGCCGTGCGTGCGTATGTCGTGTACATGGCTGGTGTACACGCATGATGTTGGCCATGGTCGGGGCTGTGTGACTCCGTGAATGGTCATGCATGCACACATGCATGGTGCATTTGGTAAGCGTCATCAGCATTACGATATTCCAAACACTGAAGTTGCAGAGGAAATCATAAAGGGGAAATCAGTTGAAATACATTTCAATCAATTAATAAACGGCTGCCGCAAAGTTCTGATTTATTTGATTTCCGAGTAATTTCGAGGCCCTCGGGTTATAATTTTGGGGAAACTCCCAACCGCCACTCCCCCGCCGCCCCCGTCCACTCATCATGCGTTGAGGCGAAGGTTATTGTACTCAGAAGAAACACCGATGGAAAAGTCGTTCTATCTTGACTATCCTATCCCGGATAATTAACTTGAAAATGATATCGTGATTATTTATCTATTCTTTATCCAAATGGCAGTTTACGTCCTTTGTTCAGGAAAAACGGAGAAATGGTTTGAAAATGTCATTCATTTACGCGGGCTGTGGAACCGTGTGTGTATATAAAGATCGTCATTTTTTTTTCTTTAACATTTCTTCCTTTTTCCTGAATGGTTTTAAAATTTAGACATTCTGAGCTCATGATATGATTGCAAAATTTATATTTTAGGTTCTCATACATTTTCATGGGTTCTGTCTGTCTCTAACATATGGACATTTTTCCGCTGATCAAAGCTGCGGCATGGTGCCATACGTCGCATGTTGTGAAACGACCTACGTCATTTTTTTGAAATTACGATCACTGAACTAAGTGGTGCACAGGTGCATATGATGAAACACACGTGACCGCGAGTTTCAAAACGTGAAAAACATTGTAATTACTGGTAGCTGAGACTGTACCACTGTGTACTGTGTCCACGTACGTACGTCCGTGTCCAGCTTATGTGAGGGCTACCAGTTTGGCCCGGCTTGCTTAGTGCTGCTTAGCATCAACACGAAATGCAAGGCTCCAGCGCTTACCAGCGTTGTGAAATCGGTGCCTAGGGCTGAGCGGGGCCTACGAAACACTGGTGCTTGGGGACTACGAAAAACTGAATTTGGTCCTAGGCTCCAATCACTAAATTATAATACTGCATAGGCCTACATGTTATTTGTTAAAAAGGGAGAGTAGTACACATTACACCTGCTGTTCAATACATTGGTTCACATCGGGAAGAAATAATAAAGTTTTGGTTCACATTGGGAAGAAATAATAAAGTTTAAACAAAATTCGTATAAACTGAAGTCCTGCAGTGTTTGAATCATTCCAGCAGTGAATTGTTCCGTTTACATTGTCTTCTTATAGTTCTTTTCAATTAGTTTGCGGTGCTGGGTTGAGGCCTCATCGACGACCGACTTGTGAAAGATATACATACAGATAGTGTTTGATACCATTTTCTGGACACATGAGTTTTTAATTCATCCTCGGTGTTCGATTCTTTGATCAAAGCAAAATGCACAAAGCTGCCCGCCTTTATGAAATCTTGATAATGACGGTGTTCTTAGCAGAGGGCGCCATTTCTTTAAAACTACCTCGTACTTGGACCTCATGTATGTGGTTGCTTTGAAATACGTCGTTAAACTATATGTTTGATAAATGCAACAACAACTCGACCTGAGGTTTTAGAATTCCTCACGTAGGCCTACTTTCCAATACTGATGTGCGTAAACTGAGCTACAGAGGAACAAATAGTAGGTAGGCCCATATTAATTAATGCTGGAGCTGGTTAGCAACAGCGCCGCCGCATGCCCGTACCGTATATGGGCCTAATAACTTCTGGTCAGTGATTACAAGCCTCCTACATGTGTATGTGACCTCCGCCTTTGTGCATGAGATTTTGCATTATTGTGTTCCAACACCTTTTTCGACTCAACAGTCGGGCAGACTTTGTACATGTACATGCTTGATAAACATCACATGCATATGTAAAAGACCGAATCACACTAATTCATTCTCACGTTGGAGTCTGAAGTCGATGCAATCTGAGAAGTAGGCTTAGGCGAGTTAATTGGCATAATTAGCGATGACCAGCATTTTGATACGATCAGCTACGGACTGACCAACAGTCATAGTGTAGTATGTAACGGCAAAACTGACATGGCACTTGGCAAGTTAGGAGTTGCACTTGTCTGCGGAGTGGTGGTTGGGGTTGTGGCATGGGTTGCCTCCTGGGACGATAAGTTCACTGTGAGGAATGAGATGATCGTGGCCAGACCAGCCAAGGAGGTGTACGAGCTCATTGCCGACTTACGGAAGCACAACAAGTACCATCAGTATGTGTAAGTAAGGCCCTCGATCCTGGTTTATGCCTAGACAATTTTCTAAATTAGTTCATGCTGTAATAACGCTTAATTGTCCAAGTTCATGGTAGACTTACTTTTCTACGTTCATGATATTTGGGACTCCTCTTGTGATCTAAGTTGCACTGAATTACTTCTAGTTCTTAGGTTGAAATCTGACAAATGAAAAGTGACTGTACTAATGGGTTTCTATAACAGTGTCCTTTTAGTGAGGTTGGGTTGAGAAAGGGGATGATTTCTCCTTGAAGAACCTCCACTGATGCTGCATGCTACTTTTGTTTTCATTTCAGCCCAAAGGAAACAGAGCTGTTGCACACTGTGACGTCTGAAGACGGTGTTGAACTGCGAACCTTCCGAACCAAAGAGTCCGTACCGCTTCCGTTTGGGTTCCACATACCAGTGACTTTTGATGCTTTGACTAAACTCACAAAGTAAGATATTCACAGTTTCTTTCATGCAATCGAAACATGTTGTCCTAAGTGCAACATGTTTTCCCTATTGAAAACTACCTTTCCATATTTCTAATTCAGTATAACAAAGTATTTGTCAAATAAACCTGTTTCCTCTCCTAGAGAGTGGCAAAGATCACCATAGATAGTGGTGCTGCACAGGGATCAGATATGAGTTAAATATTAATTAGGAATGAAATAGTATACGGCCTACCTTTGAACTCAGTATGTATAAAGGCCAAGTTGGAAGTTACAAAGAGTTGATCTTTAGAGCTATTCATTCCACGTTGAGTCAACAGGGCAGTACAAACATTAACTGTGTTTGAGCATAGAGCTAGGTGTCCACCTTGGATTCTGCAGCTCAAGATGAACTTTACTGATAGTGTTGGTTTGTTGCTCTCTTTATTTGTAGAATTCTGAGAGAATAAAGATATATAAGGGTTGTTGAGTCGCGAATATCCCGGACAAAACCCCTTTTTTCAGAACAGTTTTCCCCATGAAAAAGCAGGCAAAACTTAACAATAATTAGACTGCCCTTTGAGTGCGTATACACAGATCTTTCAATCACTATACTCAATCAGTCTATCTGAAAATAGATGGTAGTCGATGGATATACGCCATTATTGCATGTAAACCTACCAACATATAATCTACGAATCCCAATTTACCAATGGAACCGAGGCTTAGTAAGTGCAGTGCTAAGCCATCGTATGAATTGAGGACCTTATTTTCTTTTAATCCTGAAAATCAATTAAACTGCTGCGAACTGCTAACTGACTGGATTGACCTGAAATATACAAAGGGGAGCATTCATGAAATCCTCTTTCAACAAAATACAGCACCACATCTTCTGGTTCTCGGCTTCAGTGCCAATTTGAAATTCTTAAGTACACATCCTTTCTTTCCACTAGACCCAACAAAGAACTCGTTATTGACATAGACGTGGGACGGACAAAAGGCTCATCCATCTGGACCCTGGAACCAAACAAAGGCACAGCGGGAGAAGGTTCCTCATCATCATCATCATTAGGCACGCTGGTCAGGGAAGAATTCACCCTGGAGTGTATGTGGATCACGTGCGGATTCGTGGAGGAAAAGGCGAGGTCGTCTCATGAGGAACTGTTTCGGAATCTGAAGAGGGATCTGGATGGAAAAGAGCCCGTTTGATGCTCTGGTCCAGCAATGGCATTCCAAAAACCCGACTGATGTGGCTTGATGGCATATCCACAGCAAACCTTTTTGAGTTAATTAAGTACAGTCAGAAAGATAGTGCCGTAACGCTCTCGATTGGCCGTACAGAACAGGCGCAAATCCAGAGGGGGATTTTGGGGTTCAAAACCCCCTCAGCTCTGTAGTTTTTTTCCCATAGAAATTCCTGAAAAAAAGCGAACACCTCCCCCCCCCCCCCCCCCCCCCCGCTCCGACACACAAAATTCGTTTGCTAGTAATAATGTCCGCCTTGCACGAAATACGTACAGATCCAGCTTGGTTAGGGGGTATATGTACATTATTCTGGGATAGAGTGTTAATAATCGTCGGATTTGAACAGCGCCCTCATTGAAAGTATGGTATGACTCTCCCCCCCCCCCCTCCCCCCCCCCCCCTAGCTTTTTGATGTTACGGATGCCAAGTGTCCGGAGAAAAAAGTGTCTACATTTCAGATTTTTTTGTGCCGATAAAAAACCCACCCTGCGAAAATTCCTGGATTCGCCCCTGCAGAACACAGTCTTGCATGGGATACCTTGAAAGAGAGGCAAGATTTCGACACTTAAATTTGTAGCTTACCAACCGCCATAAAGTTTGCAAAGAATGTTTCGCTTTATGCATTTCACGTGTACAAATGATTCGGATGCAGCCTTATGTTATACTGTCTCTAACACTTTGGATCGCGTAGAGGGCGGTATAACTTGCAGACTGTTTTCGCTCGTCTCTATCCAAAGCCTAGGGCGCATAATGCGCTAATCGATGGGTGCGTTCCACTAGTAATGGTTACGTTTTATCGTTCGCGATCGTTTTTGTGCATAGCCGGCCAATCGGAAATTGCTGGCGATCAGGGGCGTAAATCCCCCGGGGAAGCAAGGGCGGATCCAGAACACAATTTTTGGGGGGGGCCAAAAAAAAAATTTGGTCCCCCAAAAAAGTGGGTCAAAAAAATTACGGCGTGGGGTTCGGGGCCCGCTTAAGGGCCCCGAATTTTTTTTGGATTCTAGATGCTCTGTGGTGCGATCTGAGGCAATTTCTGACCACTTTAACCAATGTTTTTTTGAGGAAAAGATGGTGGTGTACTCATTGCCTGCCTTTATTGCGATGTCACATAACAAAAAAATTTGTTTCGTTTTTTTTTGGGGGGGGGGGCATGGCCCCCCCCCCCCCCTGGATCCGCCCTTGCGGTAAGGGGGTTATGTGTGGGGGGGGGGTATCCCCACACACTTTTTGATCAGGGGGATGGGCTATTGAAACATCCCCCACACTTTTTCGTGGTGAGAAACCCAAAAAATGAGGATTGCGAGGTGTTTTTCGAACTTCCCAACAACCAAAATGTATCCAACAGCACTGGAACTGGAGGAAATGGAAAGAATGTTGCAACCTGACGCCACTTCAGCAGTTGTGTACAAAGCCTATGAAGAGTCAAGACAAGTATTTCCTAACAAATTGGAAATGTTTATCAGTCCCAGATTCATGTCTTATAGTAGTTTTTGCAATGACCGACCTTCATTGAGATGATTATGAAGAAAAGAGTGGCGTCAGGTTGCAACATCTTTTCCGAGGAAACAAGTACAAAAGCTTAAAATGTGCCGTTTTGATGTAAGCGCGAGTACTGGCACAGAAAGATGCTCTGCATCATGAACAGCGACCCCTAGTGTAATGCGGTGTCCAGTTTTTCCAGTTAGTCCTAATTTTTATTTCGTGATAGATATCACCATGGGTTTTGTTTTAGTTCCATCAATTATTAAACCAATATACATGTATATGCAACGTTCCATTAAAGTATAATCTAATTTATTCGAAATAAAATTGTTTCACCTCGAAATGTAATGTCATTACTAAACGATGCGACACAAGTCCGGACAGTGCAGTATTCATTTATGTTAAATGCCAGGTGAATAATTGTTTTTGAAAACATTTGAATACCAAACTGCCAAAAATTAAGATTTCACGGTTTTAATCGGCAAGAGAAGCAAACAATTAATCGATCAACGGTTTCAACTTGATCAATCAATCGAGACATTTTCCATTTCTTTATTACATGTTCTAAAATGTTTTTTTTTAATTGATTTCCTTTCCAAATGAAGTGTCATTTTTGTACGACTTTTGTATGTCTAATAACAGGACTTAATCGTTGTAGCATTTTTCATTTCTTTCTTTGATTCAACTTCCATTTTGTTCGTTATACTATTTGTGGCTTGACTCAATGGCTCCTTTGAAAATGACATTTATGTTTCGTACAACTGCCTCTTTTTCCCAACAAACTTAGAATTAACTTCAAAATTGTAAAGGAAACATGACACAATAAGCAAAAATTAACTTTAATTTACACGACATAGGCTAGATGTCCGGTTTATTTCAATTTGACAAAGTACATGTATAGGCTAGTTACATTAGTAATGTCACCTTGAGAGAACTTAAATCAGTCAAAACGTTGATGATTGTTTGAAACAGTGTCATCAGTTATCTTCGAAGATTACGACACATAATGGGCCTTCGTTGTCGATTTACGGCTCCCCAAATATTACCACTCTGTTGTGCAAATTCCTTATACAGGGTGAGTAAAAAAAACGCAACCAAAATGGCAGGACCACTTTTTGAATGAAGTTTTGCCAGTGGCACTTTCAAAATCTAGGATATGAAAGCCCAATCAATGCGCTTTCTTTTAGTACAAGGATCATTCAAATCACTCATGTACTTTCCAAGTTTAAGGAATTTTGAACGCAAACACCATTTTCAATTTCTGTCCACGAATCACAAAAAAGGTAAGTGTTCTTTCAGCAAAACGACAACAATTCACATGTATCCCTATGAGAATTGTTTTTGTTTTGCTGAAAGAACACTTACTTTTTTTGTGATCGGTGGACATAACTTTAAAACGGTGTTTGTGTTAAAAATTCCGTAAATTGAAAAGTAAGAGTGATTTGAATGATTTTTGTACTAAAAGAAAGCCTAATGACTGGGTTTTCATATCCTAGATTTTGAAAGTGCTACGGCGAAACTTCATTCAAAAATGTGTCCTGCCATTTGGGCTGCGTTTTTTTGACTCACCCTGTAGTATTGTAAGGAACAGTTTCTTTATTAAGTAAGACAAAAACGGTAAAGAAAACTACACGGGAATCTCTGGGTGGTGCAGGAGGAATTCCCCCATTCATGCAACTTAGTTTTTTTTTTCTAAATAAAAGCTTCTTTCTAATAAAAAAAAAAAATCATCCACAAACACGAATATTTGGCACAACTTCTCCACTATTAAAATTATACATGTACTTTCATCCACCACAGTCGCGAAATCTTGTTAGTTTACATCAGACAAATTTGGCACAAACATGTACATTAATACAATATAGAATACTCTCTCAACGGCATAACGTTTACATTCAACCCACACAATACAGGAATGCTGCTCGTTATTATATATTTGATTGAAATTTAGCATAATTACAAGCACTTTAAACAGCATTGCTAAAAAAAAAATTCGTTTACCAATTTACAGCACATTAAGAAGTTGACTAAGTCATGTACATTTCAACTGGTGATATGTCAAGATTTAATAATGGATTTCAACAATTATGAAAGCATTTTGTAAAAGGAAAAAGACTCTGCACCTTTAAAATGGCTGCCATGGACATGATGGAAAGGGTCTATGTGAGGAACACTGCAAGGAAACATTTCTCAAGTCTATTTGTATGACCTGGACAACTTCATAAATTCATAAATTATTCCAAACAAAAATTGCGAAGTGCACTTTTCACTATCAACATGAAAAACGTGTCAGTTTACAGAGAAGGGCAATAACAGAAAATACAGCACTGCAGAAGAAAAAAAATCCTCAAGCAAAAATCATCATAACATTCAATTTAGGTGCGAAAATCAATCAATCAAGCACTATAAATAGCCACAAATTCTTACCAAATTGTGAATTTGGAGAGAGTGTGATCAAAATATCCTACTTGCATAACTGAGTTTGTCAGGAAATGTTGAACTCGCAATTTCACCTCCTGACATTTGGTAAACACTAAAACATAAAAATGTTAAAAATGTAATGAAACAAAATTCTTTCCAAACTTCAATCTGCTATTCATATTTCATTGCTAAAAATATACCCCGAAAGCAGTTTTGCCTAGTGCGACCTCATCCTTTGAAATACACTGTACGTAAAATTATTTTCGCTTTGTTTGTACATATATATTCAAAAGAGGACATCGGTTTTCTCTACACGTATCTGTATCATGGATACGTATATGGTACATGTATATAATATTCATGATCCATTCCAAGTATCCGAGAGCCTTAAAATACAAAAGTCTTCTTTTTAACATTTGATCAAGCACAATAATGTCATAACATGACCACGCATTCATAATTTGCAATACACTCATACAGTGCAGTTTGAATGGGTGCTTTAGGCTATTTAGAAATCGAAACAGTTATTTCAAATGTTTATTTTTGGTTTGTGAATTCTGACCATGGTTGGATAACGCCAATGAAATAAAAAATACTGAAATGCATCAACCATGGGATGAAGTGAATGTGATAAATACAGACTCATGCAGTCACAGTACATTGTGACCTTGTACATACATGTACATTATGAATTCTGGAGACAATGATAAACCATTTGCATGTACTACTAGTGTACAATGCATTACCGGGAGAATAAACTTCAAGTTATAGAAGGTTTTCAAAACCGAATCTCTCAATTGATTACAGATTAAACCCAAACTCCCTAAACATTTGCGCTGAGAAATGTCCTGAATCCTCCAAAACCATCCAATATGGAGGAAACCATTGGCATATTCTATGTACTTAAACTTTCGAAGGGAATCAAGTCCCACAGTGACAGTGGCCTGGCTCTCCTTAATCCTTCAAAATCCTCCCATTAAAACCTGATTGATTTTGATGGGTGGGAGGGTGGGAGTAAAGAACGATGATTTTGGTGAGAAATCTGTTTTATGTTGGAATTAATGGATACTCAATGGAGTACAGGTCAGACGGATTGAGAATTTCTGTATTTAATAATTCTCCACAATCAAAGAGGCTAGTTTATGGTACAAAAAAGCTCCATGTTTTGACTTTGCACCGAGATTTTCATGCGTGTCTGTGTACACAGAATTAATAACAAAGAAGCATTGGCGCATAAAGGATCGTATGTGGATTTATTTTTAGGCCTTTCATCGTGTTTTGCTTTAAGTTTAAGAAAAACATGTACATTAAATTGGTCTGCCCCTCGGAAACATTACAATCAGGTTTTTCTCTTACAATTGTCCAAATCTGCCAGCTGTACAAAATGTAAGGAATATCCATGGGAGGAAAAAGGTCCCACACTGATACAAAAAAGGTTCAATTCTACAATTCAATTAAACCTGATCAGCGGTATTCCACAACATGTCCGGGAGGTATCGCTCGTGACATTTGAGTCGCAGTTTCAAAAGGTGTTCAGCATTTATGCATGAACCCATGAAATCGTGCCGGTAAAGAACTGCCAACGTCATTTGGTTGCTGGGTGAATTACACGAGGATAGAAAGCCTACATGTATTACTGATTAGATTACAAAAAAAGTACAATGTACATGTTCATGTACATGTTTCATTAAGCATTGAGCATGTAATCACATTTCCAGACCATTTAAGAGAAAATTTTCAGGATAGTACACATCAAGGGGCTAAAAATGTTTTGATTTGTTCTGGAAATCTGGGAAAACATCTTTTTGAACATCTGTTTTCAAACAAAATTGTTCTTAGCATTTTTTTTCTCACCAAAATATCTTGGACAATACATGTAGATTAGGCAATTTCTCCGATCACTACGCCTTTGGAGAACCTATTTGAGATTTTTAATATGAAACCATAGTATCAGTAAGCCTGGAAGTGAATCTACCCTGCTACCCTTGGAGGTAATAAACTAATATTTGCAAACATCAAAAAATTAAACTGTCAAATTATTATCAAATACCTTACTTGGCTTTAAGTGAATAATAAACTCAAGCATCCTGTGAAATCAGTGCACCTGGTGTGTGTGCTGTCATTTTCAACGATGGTCGGCCGACCATCATTGGGAAAAAAACTGCATACCCCCACCCCAATTTACTAAATTTAGTTAGTCCACATTAGTTTTGCTTGTAATCAGTTACACATCTGTGAACAGGTGCAAGCCAGCAAGATGTAGTCTGGTTCCCTGACCTGTTAATTCCCTGATTGTCTATAAATTGCTCTTTTTCGTGGGAAGCAGGGTAAGGAAACCAGACAACAAGAACAGCATTTTGCTCTTGGTTTCTCCAGCATCCATGAACACAAAACTTTAAACAATTCAGTGCGACAATATTTGCTACATACCGGTAATACAGACCCCCAAATCCATCCATTTCTGAAAATACAGCAAAAGCAAATGTTGTATATGTTACATGTACCTTTAAGTGTTTAGCACAGAAAAAACTTATAATTGATAACAGGCCATTTGAGAACTTTATCAATATTTTACATACGTATTAATATTATATCGAGCTGTAATTTCATTGGTTTAGGACGGCCACGTTTCTGGACAATAAAAATACATGTCACACACCAAGGGGCATATTGCACTCATTGTGTGGTGGACCCTGTCAGCGTGCTAGCTTCGCGCAATGAGAACTGCAACTTCAAGAAATTTAGATGTTTTTGGTCAACACTGACTCCTTAGTCCAGCCCAAACCAGAAGTCAAGATAACACTGATAAAAAAGAGGCACTTATTATGAAGATAGCAAAAACGGAGAAAAGGCCCCTCAAAATGGGATCATTCATTATCATGTTTGATGAATGATGAGGACTCTTTGTGTAAGCAGGGAGCAATCTATTATCAGGAGGCTAGACAAGATGAGATCACAGTCATGGTAAATGATGCGAGGGGGGCACAGGAGGTGATTTAGTACATGTACCCGCATATTATCTGTTTCTAATTTGGAACATTTTTCGGATGTGGGGGCAATAAACATAAATGTGCCCCATGCATAGTAAAGTCCGAGGCATGACCGGGTGGTGTACATTTACATGAAACTATAAATAGCAATCAGCTACTAAAAAGAACGCTTTAATGCATGCATGCATGTTCATGTATTCAGACTAATTTTTCCATGTGAACAATTACCATATGGATTAGGTAAAAAAATGTAGATGTTACAACAATTATCTCTGCGCATATTTGCATGGGGATTTTTTTCCCTTCAAATTCTATAGAACTTGAGATAAAAACGATAAATGGAGAATATTTCAGTGTTTGGGATTAAAATCAGTCAAATAAAAACTTACTTTGGGCATGGAGCTCTACTACATGCACAGGCAATTATACATGAATGCAAATGTATGTACTACTAATGAATACAAACTAAATGAATCTGTACATGTACTACACTGTTAACGTGTATATTTTGTACTTGGGTGACAGTTGTGCATATTAATGTTTTATTGTGCTAGCATGTGTATTCTACACATGAAATGTGAATGACACTACACCACCAAGGTGAAGTTTTTTGCAAAATAGTGAGATAAGGGAGATATGATTTTTTTAATAACGTGAGCTACATGTAACAAAACAAAACATTGGCTCCAATTTTACACCCCAGTCTGTGTACCTGCCAATTGTTTTAACTAATTAACACTACACCGGCTAAATGTAACAGAAAGCAACAAAGATAAAAACGTTGTTGCACGCTGTTGCATTATGCAGGTAACGCAAGTCCCCATATTCTGTTGCATCTTGTTGTATTTAGCAGGGCAAGTGCCAAGGCAATACATCCACTGTTTCATTTGGTTGCATTTAGCAGGGTAACTGCTCATAGTGCCAATGCGAAACAAGATTATCCACTGTTGCATTTGGTTGCATTTAGCAGGGTAACTGCTTGGTGCCATGGCTGGTATGCACTGGGTTCACTGCACAATGCAACTGAATCCACTGTTGCAATTTGTTGCATTAAGCAGTCTTATTTCAGCCAAATTGCATTTTGTTGCATATGACAGGGGGCCTACAATCCCGGTCAAAATGGTTGGGACACTTCCTGAGCCTGCCACGGTCACCCACTCCCCCGCTCCCCCGGTTAATGTTGTTCTCTCCAGCTGATGGAGCACACACCACGCAAGGAGAGACAACATTGAGCGGGGCCCGGGGATGGGGGCCAGCGAGATTTGGCCAGGATTGTGGGCTAGAGAAAACCTATTTGTGGTTAGGATTTAGGAAATTCACTTCAAAGTCTAAGAGTTAAGGTGGATGATTTCGTACACAATTGTAAAATCACATCTTCCTTATTTTCCTTTCTATTTTGTAAAAAAAAAGGCAACTAACAATCAGATCTTCAGATTTTGCAATGTGACATGTATGAAGTACCTGTACTAGTACCTACTGCAGATCATACACTGATTTGAATTTTAAAACTTTAGGTATAATGTATGCACACTTACTGTATAGTGTACATGTACATACAGAGAAGTAGGCCTACTCACACACAAATGTGATCGTTTAGTTTGTTCAGTTAACACTCTGTTACATGTACCAAAATGTACATGTAATAAAATATATCAAACATACATGAAACAAAACGGAAAGGATGCTGGCTAAACATATGCTATCGTGCATCTGCAGAAAAACACAAGAAGGTTAAAAAATAAAACAACGACTCTGTTTAACAGAAGGTTTGCGTATTGCACCTTGTGAAACAACGTATACAAAAATACTGCCAATATTCATTAATAAAAAATAGTGCGCTTTGTTTTTTGCAATTCGTTTTGGGTGATTTTTTTAGAATTGTTCCCATTTCTAATTGGGATACGGCGCCTCAGGGCGCCGTGCAAATGTGGGATTTTTCGGCCGTGTTCTTCCAAAGCGATTCAGTGGGTTGATTCTGGGCTTTTTCTGTTGATTTTCGCCATAGTCTGCCAAGACGGCCTCGTTGGGCGGCGGTTGTCTGACGGAATCTTCTTTGGCTCCCGGTTGCGGTTTGGCCGCATCCGGCGGCGGCCGTTGTTTGTCCGGTTCCTCCATGAACTGCTTGGCGTTCTCTGCGTAGCGGTCGGCATTGGCCCGGATCTTGTCCTCGTTCTCCAGCACGCGCTGGTCCGGCGTGCCGTAGTTGGGCGGGTTGGCATGCGGGTCGTACCCCAGCTTGGCCAGCATGGGCGCAATCGTATCGATGTTGTCCATGACGTCCTGGGGAATGTGGCCGACCCACTTGGTCAGTGCCTCCAGGTTGACCGGCTTGATCACTTGATCTGTGGACTTCTCCTTCCTGAAATAAACAAAAGTATGGAAGATGGTTAAGAAAACACACCTATAGTTTTCAAACACTGCAACGTGGGCAAAACCAATGCACCAAGTTAGTGCCGAAAATTTAAGTATTTTCAGTTATCTTTGGAGTACAGTGCAGTCTGTACAGATCTATGTATAAGTACATATACATGTAGGTTAACTGCACAACCAAGATCGCCAGAATGCTAGACCACAACCTAACAATTTTAACTCTCCTATGCAAACATACATTTTATGCAAAGTTGTCCTTTCACTTATTTCAGTCAAAATCAATCAAGTGACTGTTTTTAACAGTTGAGAGCTCCCAGCCTATACATAAAACAGGATAGACTGGCTCTGACTGTTTATGTAATTTGATACAGCTATGCTTTGACTGCAGGTGATTGATAAGCCAGCTGTGCCTACCACTTGCCTGCTTTTGTCTGTTGACTGAATTTGACTAGTCACCGTGCTTGGCTTGAAATATGATTTGACTGTTAGTTACTAGCCTGTGTATAAGGCATGGCAGGGGAAGAGGACTGAATTTTGTCTGTGACTGTTCAGAGAGCAGGTGGATTAAACTTAACAAAGTAAAGTTAAAACAGGAATGCCATTCATGTAACGCTCACAGCATTCTAAAGTGCAGGTTCATGTGTAAAGTTGTGCATCAGACCTACTTGTTCGTAAAAAAAACTCAATCAATCATAATTACTTTGAGAGTGAAATGCCACCGGGTTTTCCCACAGTATCCTCGTGGTGTAGCACGCTGTCGTCCCAAGGAATGTCCAGGAATGTCAAAATCTTCCTCATCCATTCCTCAGGATGCAGCACCAGTTTCTCGTAGAAGACGGGCAGGCAAATATTTGGCCCCAGCTGCATGCACTGGTTGTACATGTTCTCCACGGCAAGGTTCCATTTTGTCAAGCAGTCTTTGTAGCTTTGGATGTTGAACCCGGTGATGGTGACCTTTCGGGAGATGATGGAATGGACGGTGGCCCTGCCGTCCCGCAACATGAGTAGATACTTGCCATTTTGGAAAACCCTGTGCAGGTAGACCATCGATTTCAGGACAAAGGGGTCTTTGTTGCATAGCCGCCGCGCCGGCTCGCCGTGTTTGGCAATGATCTCTAAGATGAACGCCGATAGCGCGTCGTCGATGACTTGGTCAGTCAATCCGGCCTCTATGAGCCGGCCATGTTCTTTACCGGATTTCATCCACTGGGCACGCATGCTGAGGAGTCGGGGTATAAGACGGGTCTCCTCCCCGCACCGCACATCCGGATGAGCATCCAGCATAGCGCGCATGAGCGTGGTGCCACTGCGCGGCATGCCGCCAATGAAAATCAGTGGCATATCCTTGTCATAGACGTACTCATTCTGTTGCTGGTCGTACATGACGTGCTTGGGTTCTTTTGGCAACATGACGGTATTCTGATGTCTGTCCAAGGGACAGTTTGTTCCGACAATTAAGTACGTAACGATGGCTGTGACCAGCACCGTTAAGAATGTCTGTATTTTATTGTTTCTCCTCATTTTGTCATCTAATGGTAAGTGGGTACGCATCTATCAAAGTTTCAGTTACACACATATACATGTATGAAACATCATCTTGTGATATTTTCGTTCAACAGTTATCTAACTATTGAATATTTGAAGACTAAACAATAATGTTTACTCTGAGCAGCTTGAATCTTAGCCAGAGGTCCATTTTTTTTCCAGCTGGTCTTGACAATATCCGACCTTGAAGAGTTCCTCACTTCCACAAACTGCAGACCTTGATTGCAAGAACAGGCCGTCTGCCTATCAAAGCACATCGAGGCGGATCCAAAGGCTCATCTTAAAGATGCGTATACCACACACAGTAGGAATGCCTGAGCAAATGATAAAAACAAACTTATCATAAGCTATGATGAAACAGGAACAGAGGCTTTGAATTATCTAGAGCAGTCAGAATTGCACAACTATCAAGGGAGATGTAAATGTTAATGTTAGTTTTGCCCTTTATGACATTTATGCAACTTTGAACGATGTATGCTAAGCACTTACAACATATGCCAGTTCTGTCCCATAATGATATGTCTGAGAGCTTGCATATGTACACATCATGTATGACCATATGACGAACATGAACCCAAGACCTTTTACTAACTCAACCTCTCACTACTGCCGGCAAGTGTAAATGTACTGGTACATGAACCAAGCTTCAGATGATGTCTATTTTATAGACTCCCAAAAGCACGCTTTTCTCAAATTGCTTCCAACATGTACATGTACGTGTACATGTATAACCCATTATTATTTAGAGCCACATGTTTTCTCAGCTCTTCACAGAGGGTGTACATGCACTGTGTGATTTCCAAATAAACCTAAGGGCCAAAGCAATGCAATGCTTGAAATGCACCTAGTTGTGTCCCATTTTACATATAACCTTATTTTCAATTTTCGTTTGGCCATTTTTGAAGAGTATTTTGGTGCCTTTTTGTTTTTTTGCTAATACAAATTTCCATATACATGAGCAAAACTGTGACATCTCTGTAGTCTACCTCATTGGGTCAATGGTACAATACTACAATAGGCCTACTGAAGACACTTTAAAGGTGCGTTGCTTGATTGATACAGCTGAGATACATTGTTTGTGGATATGAATGGAAAACTTGATTTATGGTACATGTATGTGTATATGTATACAAAAAAAATATGAGTACAGTTCTACATGTACATGTATGGGCATGTTTATTTCATTAACCCTGCTATGCCCAGTGCAGTTGGCAGAGAATTATCAGACCTTTCAAAACATTTTAAATTTGCCTGACTAAAAGGGTTTTGAAAGGTGAAATAGTGCTGGAACTTTGAAACTTTTTGAAAGGTTTCGGAAGGTGAAGCAACTCTGTGGGCAAATTCAGTAAGTTGCCTTTCAATACCTTTCCAAAGGAATTGAAAGGTGTGGTAGTGCAGTAACAATAAATTCTGGAGGATTTTAAATTGTTGTCCTCCAATTTGCCAGAACCCAGATTTTGAGGTGTTTTGAATGGTCAAACCACAGGAGAGTTAAAAAATGCTTCTAATTTCAAAACTGGCAGCACTGATCCTTATGTAACTAAGTTATAGTGTTTGATTGATGGTCCTTCATACAAGATGGGGAACCGAAATCAGGCCTTACACCTTTAAGAGGTATTATATAAATCTCAATCTAAATTTTTATGGAGAAAAGTTAGGAATTAGGCTATTAATATTAATTAGGACTTTAATACACCTTTGGTTCAGGTGAGCCTACACCAGCACAGTTGATTAACAATATTACTGTAAACAGATAAAGGAATGATTAAAGCAATAAGTGAGTGTGCTGTCTTTAAAATTCAAACTCAGATCTTGACTTTAAACAAAACAATGACTTTTTGTAATTATGCAAAACCTACATGTAAGTTGAGTTGATGCTGATGAAGTAGGGGTGTTGAATGTGTTAACAGCATCTTACACTTTGTAATTAAGTGGAATCAGTTGATTTAAATGATTAAAATGACCCTCAATCAATTTATTTTGCCAAAAATAAGATTTTTACAAAAAAGTGCTTTAAAACAATGAATTTAAAAAAAAAATCATGTGATTTAAATCGCGATTTAAATCAGTGATTGAAATCAACATGATTCAAATCAGCCAACCCTGCTTTCAGGTATTCTGCATTTATCACTGTATCCGGTTCCAGCCAGAGACAGAGCCAAAGCCGGGTTTTAAAAAATGGCCAAGATGGCAGCCTCCAGCAAGACACTGTGCATTACTCGTAGCCTTGTTGTCTAGTCTGGTTTCGCAGTTACATTATCGTTGTGATGTTGTATTCAGGGGCGGGAATCAGACCTAATGAAATTTTGGACTTTACTTCCCTTAATATAGGCTCATCCTCCAGAGCCACAAACTACAATTTAATAAGGTGCAACCTCGTCCCCAGTGTGTCGAGCCCTGGTATTGGATCATTTGCATGTGCAACATTTTTGAACACATACATATACAAATGAGGAATAGTCTGGTGCCTGCATGAGCCTTACGTTAGCGCTTGTTTTTGTATGCAGTGTCTGGGGTAAAAACAGAGTCAATACCTCGCAGCGCAAGCATGTCGTGAGTTACGACATGCAGTATCACATTTCATATTAATCATGTTAATATGAAAAAATTGGAAAGGAAATGAGTATTTTCGAGAAGGCGTGGACGAATGATCGCGAAAGCACATACTGCACGTTTTAAATAACAACACCAAGTACACGATAAAAATCCATTTGTAGCCAACTGCGGTATCGAATCAGGATACAGGAAGAAAGTTTGCTATCCAGGGCTTACAATTGGAAACGCAGTTGGACATAAAGTAAGCACTGGGGACGAGGTTGAATACGGTGTTTCACAGTAATATGCGCCATCTTGCTGACAGGGAAATTTCACATGCGTTGCTGTGTACGCATCGTCAATGGAAAACTTTGGCGCTTCCAAGTCATCATGCGGTCATTCCAAAATACGCCCGCAACTAGCAACGCGTGTTCTTTTAGCCCCGTGAACAAGATGGCGCATATTACCATGAAACACCTTATTTAATAAGGACTCAAAACCATCAGAATTCGTCGCCAAATTACCATGATTTTTGGAACTAGACCTCTACGGAATTCAACATTTTTTTGCTACATACTATAGCTGGGGTGATTTTCAAGGGACAAAATCATTTCAATCTTAACTTGTTTTTCGGCTCCCCTGGCAAAGGGACTATCCATGCACAGACCATAATGTACAAAGTATGACTGATAATGCGGAGGTAGTCCAGTATTTTTCAGTCACATTTATGGGACTAGTACATGTCCAACCATGGTCCAACTATTTGAAAAGACTGGCCTCATCATTCAGTTACACTGACAGTGTCATCTACATTACTCTGGTGGCTGACTATGGAGAAATGTGGAAAAGTATACAGTACACGTACGTCACTTTTTGTTCAATCAATTTCCAAGTGCCAAAAAGTTAATACTTTCTATGGTTCTTTCATCTATTTTCCCTCCTCGACTCTCACTCTCTACCCTCCTCCAATCCTCTTTATTTACCGGTCACTTACTCCACCGGGATTCGAACCTGCCATCGTGTTATTTAATCCCACCAGCCTTATCCTCTACACCAGTCGAATGATCGTTGCCAGTAAGGGACTATTTGATGTATTTAAAGTAAAGGCTAATGAATATTTAATGGCGATCGTGAAGTGTAGGGCACCTGTTTTGTTTTGATCAAATTAGAGTCAAAAATATTTTTTATTGCTCAAAAATCACCTTTACAATCAAAAGCAGACTTTTCTCAATTCTAATGACACCTGTTTTGCAATTTTGAACAGATTCTTGGGGTAGAAATCACAATTTTCCAGCACGATTTGTGCCTTGCGATTCAGCGCGCCGTGCGTGCTCACGGTACATCACGCGGTGATTGCCATCTTTATTTTCGGGTCACGTGTTGTTACCGCGCTGTCATCGTCATTTTACCCCCAAATTTCCCTCAAAAAATCAAAACCCTGCCTTCTATCTACCGGTATGACCTCAGAATCTCAGAAAGTTGATTGGATATCGCCGCTAGGCATCATCATCCAGTTTGACTTCAAGTCGGTGCCGTGCAAATGTGAAACATACCTGTTTATTGAGAATGTCGCCAACTAGTTTGGTAGGTCCAATAATTTTAAAGTGGATTTTGTTCCCTTATAGGAACCGGGCCATACACTTCACGATCGCCTAGTTAATAAACTAAATGGTAATGTTGTGCGCTTTCTTAAAAATCACGCAATCTTAAGAATGAGCGCGCATTCTTAAGAATGAGCACACATTCTTAAGAATGAGCACGCAATCTGAAGAATGAGTGCTCATTCTTTAGATTGCGTAGGAATATCATGTGCGCAATTTATGAATTTTGCACAATCTCAACAAAAATTGCAAGGAATAATTATGTTAAATGAAATGTATAGCGGTTAAAGGGGAAATAATTCATATAATGAGGAAAGAAAATGATCTATGCTCCTGTACTCGTATAACTACGATTATTTGAATCAAATTAAACCTGTTATTATTGCTTTTCTTCTGCCCACTATGGGAAGTTTTGCAATAACGGAGGACTGGGAACTAGTCTGGGAAGTGCTTTGTTTAGGCTAGACAAGTTACAAGTCCCTGTATGTATCATATGCATATCACCAAAAAAAAAGGTGTCCGGAAGCTGCCAAAATTGCTCTTTTGACTACCGGTAAATACAATCCAGCTCTGCGGCGTATTGGTGGGGGTGTGAACAATAGCAGTTTAAGTGGCAAATAGCATTAGCGCTATGGGATGTAACACTAACAGTATTCATTCTCATTCTTCACATTCTTCATTCTTACGCCCCCCCCCCCCCTTAATTAATTTTTAACCCGAAAATCAGAATTCTTTCCACTACACTAGTATTATTATGTCTCTTATTTTTTCCCGGTCCACCGAATACTCTACTTTTCATCGTTAAATCTTTTCCTAAGTAAGTGACTTTGCATTGCAACAGTATAATTGTTAAGGATCAGTGAACGAGGATGCAGCTAGACTTGCCAAGCGCAGCCGGTGCTCGGCATGGCATCGACAAGACCGTTATCTTGTCGCGCATTCTTAAGAATGTGCAGTTTGTGCACTCAATCTGGAAGAGTTATTTTTTGCGAAGATTGCGCAAGGATCCAGTTGCGCGATCATAAGAATGTGCATGCACATTCTTAAGATTGCGTGATTTTCAAGAAAGCGCACAACAGTCATACACCTGTATTAGTCCGAGTAACTTGGACCCAACTTATCGCCTTTTTTAACATTTGGACATGGTCTGGCGATCGCCAGACCATGTCCAAATGTTAAAAAAGGCGATAAGTTGGGACCAAGTTACTCGGACTACACCTGTAATACAGACTGCGTCAGTGCAGTGAACATCATGAACATGGTCATGTAAATAAATGAGACTGAGACTAGTCCGACCCCCTGTAAATTTTACTGTCAATAACAAATGAAGAACGGCCACTTACCTACTTTTCTTATCTGTTTGCATCATGGAGGTAGAATTAGATGAAACCCGGAAGCAATCAACTAAGGAAATATTAATTAAGCCAGAATCCAAGACCAAGTCTCTTTCTTGCTCATGCTCCGGCTTCGAACACGTACACAACAATGATTGATTGTTTTTCTGCTGTTCTAGCCTTAACGGGTTTTCGGCACAAAAAGTACACATGTTACGCACTTATGCTTAGAACGTGCAATGTTGGGTCGTGCACCAGCGATATTTTACAGACAAACAATAGAGGGCGGCATTTTAAAAAAATGATAACAAACGAGAATGCGTGACATCGCATCCGGGTTTGTTAGTTAAAAAAAAAAAACCGCTTTGCTCTTTTAAATTAAATGTATTTTAGTAATATTACGCAACTTTTTTTTTCAAGTAAACTTAATCAAAATATATTGTTTCATTGCACGGCCACCAAATTCTGAGGTGAAGGGATTCGGTCCTCTAGCTTGTAAGATTATTTAAAAAAAGGAAAAAAAAGAAGGAAAATTAAGAAAGACAAGAAGAAAGTACGGCCCTTGAAAGTTTGTTACCTATAGCAAAAAAAAATGGAGTACATGTACATGTACCTTCAAAAGCCAATGAAAGCCGAAGAGCATTGAAGGACAACAAGTGAAACTTATCGGAGATATTGATTTGCTACATCATTGTTCAAAAGATCGTCTTCACTTCGTTCACGGTACCTAAAAATCTATTATAGGCAACTATCGACCCGATCATCTCTCAATAGCGAGGCCGTCAATCAATAAAAATCGACTTGGCAGTAACTTACGACGCCATTTTGCTGAAGACAACTTCTCCTGAAAACAAAGTTTTTATGCATAATACCGGCGAGATGGAGACATCAACTTCCCTGATTTTGTTTTTTCTCTTATGCGGGGTTTTCTTCGGACCTTGGGTTGCGCATGCCGAGGTGGTTGACACATACAGACGGCGAATTGTATTAGAGGTAAGTTTATATCAATTTAGTTAAATAATGCAACGAGCAGAGGTAGATCTATATGAGCGCTCCACTGCGGTCTTGCAGTATCCAGACAAAAAAAGCTAAAAAGAAGATAAACATGAACAATTCTGACCTAAACAACTGGTGAATATGATCTAAATATAATTCCTATCTTATTAAAGATTATTATGAGTCTAATTACCCAGTCGTTTCATTGAAAATTATCACTTCTATAATAGCAAGCGTTTCAAATATTTTTTGAGAGTTTGCATGATGAAATCGAATACGATAAGAGTATAGTCTAGTGGTGTTCCCTAATACGTGGCGCACTAATGAACGTTTCCCCGACTTTCCTCATGCAGAGTTACCAAATTTCTTTGTTGACAAACTTCAACTTCATTCAATTAAATACTGGTACTTTTACCTTAATATAAGTGCTTGCCGTTGAACCTTTGTGAACGATCTCAGTGTCATGAAATTAAGTCCGAAATTCAAAAACGGTGCGACGGTGGCGTCCGGAAATTGGGCACAAAATCGGCCGAGTGTTCCCTATTTTGGGGCGCACTTGAAAAATCTCGGAAAATCTTAAGTTTACATTTGAGAATTTCTGAAAAGTTGATAAATTCTGATAAGCCATTATTATCTCTGCTTTTTGATATTATCCTACTAGAAATTTGTCAGAAAATGATTTTCTTATTATTTTGGGTCGCATTTTCAAAGGGTTCACTTTGTGTGCACTTCGCAAAAAAATCACGCCAGAATAAATATCTCTGCTGAATTGTAACGGGTAAACTCAAGATTTAGGAACGGAAATGTTTAGAGCCTGATTAAATTTCACTTAGTATGAAATTTCAGGTAAAAAATTTGCTCTAGCAAGCCTTAACAGGTTTAAGATCAAAGTGTGCCACTTTAGGGGTCGCACGACATCAACAATGATACCACTGATGCAGTTATTGTATCCGTCACGTCGACATCCTAGTGAGAGACGGGCAGAGCACACTGTCCAAAACGTTGAGTTCCCCCGGTTCTTTTCAGAACCACGCAAACTCGTACTCACGAAAGATTCCAATTTTGTTTTCTCATAGTGCAGCCGCAAAACTATATGTTTTGTTAGCGTAAACGATTTACTGCAATAGTAATAAAAGTTTGCTTTTTGAACCAACATTTTGATGGCAAGCTTCTTAACTGAACAATTCCATCCCACATTTCCTTCCAGGAGTGTTCAGCTGGAACCGACGGTCCGCCAGGGCCATCGGGCCCACAAGGAGTGAAGGGGGACCTGGGAGGGCCCGGGATCGCTGCTCCTAACTGGCGGCAATGCTCCTGGTATCAGATCGACGATGGGCAAGACAACGGTGAAGTCCGTGTAAGAAACATACATTTAAAATGTAATGTTCTCCTAATGATTACGGTTTTGACTTTATTGAAGGATATCCATCTACTGGGGGTTTACAGAAAGTTTTGAAGGATTTGGGTGAAAAGCAGGTCAGTATGGCCATGGAGGAAGGAACATCCATGGTATGGCATAACTGGGGTACCATTTGCAGGGCAGAAGGGGGAGGGGCTCGTTTTCTAGAGGGGCAGGGGCGGATCTAGCTTTCAGGAAACGGGGGAGGGGTGATAATGGGTATAAAGGCGTGCCAATGGCACGCCCTCGCGGGGCCCGGGGGCCGGGCCATGCCCCCAGGAAAGGTTTGAAATATACGATACTTTCTGCTGCATTCTAAGCATTAAAGGGCGGTTCCAGGGAGGCCAACGGGGGCCATGCGCCCCCCCCCCCCCCCCCACGTCGCAATAAGAGCAGGCACTGCGTACACATCCATCTTTTCAGAAGTGGTCAGAAATTGCCTCAGATAGCACCAAAGAGCAAGGGCCCCGAACCACTCGCCGTAATTTTTTGACCCACTTTTTGGGAACACTTTTTTTTGCCCCCCCCCCAAAAAAAAATTAATATTGTGTTCTGGATCCGCCCTTGTAAGCATTTAAGGGAATTCGAAAAATAAATTTAAGAACTTTAGCATTCCATTTTTTTTACCATTAGGCTACATGTTTTATGATTAGTCGGCAGCTGAACGGTGGGTGGTTGCAACCCCCATCCATCACTGAGGGGACACGTGTAGTGGGTATTTTCTTTTTTAACAATACAAAGCTTATCATTAACTGCCGTCCCCAAAATGCGATGCCTAGGGGAAAGAGGCACAAACGGGAACAGGCGTTCCCCTTATATCCTTAGTTTATGCCGGGGAGAACACTGACGAGGTGACACGATTTTGGGATCTGTGGTGGTTAGATGTTTCCTTAAAGATGCGTCCCCGAGCTATTTCGGCTTTTACTCCGAAAAAATAAATTCTTTTTCTAAACTGCTATTTTGTTTTAGAAGTAAAAGAGCTCCTCACTTCTGGGTGAGATCGACCGAAACAATCGGCACAATTTAAGTACCCGAATCGGGCAAGGCATCTCACGTACCCTATACAATTAACCATTGAGGCCCAACAGTTTGTTCTTCCACTTGCTCCCATTGGATTCAGACGTGTTCCTTCACCAAGGAGAACTCGGACACATACCTCTACGTGGCGATCTCCGCGAACCTCCGTGTAGCCTACAACAACCCGGCCTGCTGCCGCTGGTACATCACGTTCAACGGTGCCGAGTGCTCCGATCCGGCTAAAATCGATGCTGTCTGCTACGCCGCAGGGTACAGCAACTATAACCTGCACAGACCCAGGGTGTTTTTCGGTAGGTTTATACAACATTCCGAGTTTGAAAGGGAATTGTGCATGTTTAATGGTGGAACGGGACGTCACAGAAATAATACGTTCAGGCACTTCATTCCCACTTTAAAAAGACATTTTTTTTCTTACTTCATTTTTACGTGTAACGTAAGTTTGATAAGTAGAGGTTTGGAGTTTGTTTTGTGACAAACCGAAAGTAATTTGTCATTCGTGATGATTCTTCCTGTTTTTACATTAAATACGAAACAAAGTCGGTCACATTTTCACTTGTGATTTCATCATGGCGTCACAAGTTTGTACGTACATCTTGAGGTCAGCCTTGTCAGGGTTAATATTCATACCAAGTTTGAAATCAGAAACACAGAACTGAGAACCAGCACAAAACAACACGAGAGTGATGGGGACTGCCCCCCCCCCTCACCCCAATGATCACCCGATTCTAATAATTAAAAAAAAGTGATCGGGTTGGTTACGTCTCCATAGTCCGAAGTCCCATTGGTCCGAAGTACCAATGGAACTTCGGACCAATGGGACGTCGGACCAATGGGACGTTTATACCAATGGAACGTACAGAGCAATGTGCCGTCGGACCCATGGGATTTCGGACCAATGGAACTGCAGAGCCAAACGAAACATCCAGTTTCCTGCATAATCATGTGCACTGTCCTCCTTTATGTTAATTAACCTGCAACTAATTGATTGATGGTTTTTATTTAAGGTTACTGCAAAAGCTTGTCAGCTGGAAGTTACTCCGTTGGTTTGAGAGTGGGCAACTGTGCTGGCTATGGTTATTATGACTGCTACACTGGATGGAACAGCGCCTTGCATTTGATGGTCGAAGAAGTGACACCTTCTCCTTACGATTAGGCCAAGTAAAAAAAAGGAGTTTCTCGACTGGGTTTTTGGGAAAAAAAGAGAGGACATGCCCCCTTCGGATTTTCCAAGATGGATTCTTCGATTTTCCGCTTTTGCTGATATTTTTGTGTCCAACGCTTTTATAGTAACAGATTGTAAACTTGCATACATAGTTACAAATTTCCTGGAAGAAAACTTTATATATTGCAAATGTTTCGGGGTTTTTTGGGGGTTTTTTTAAGGAAAGAAAAGAGGCAGCAGAAAAAAAGTGCGAGGGGAGACTTTATTTGGCCTTAGGTGAATCTTTAGTAGAACATATTTTAATCTTATTTCTCGAAATTGACAATATTTTCGCATATCAAAAAAAATATTTTTCAGAATTTTCCTCTCCCCTTTAGAAAGATTTCACAACATCTACCGTTGTAAAAAATAAATTACTTTTTGCAGTGACATGTCTGATGATACACAATAAATACACAATAAAAGGTTGGTCTACAATTTACATCATCAACGCTCCAAGGGCGATCCAGAAATTTTGAAGGGGGGGGGCGTCAGATCTTTTTAATGTCAAATTGTTGTGGACAGGCGGACATATAGGTTATTATTATTAGGCCAAAAAATAAAAGTCTCCGGTTTCTGGTATGGAGCTTGCCCAAAAAGTGGTGCGGCGACGCCTCACGCGGCTTTTTTTTGTTTTTTACCTGATTTTTTTGCTTCAAATGCGTGCTGACGACTGCAAATGGTGCCCGACTAAACTTAGTGCAAACATGTGGGAGTCCAGAGAGGCCACATAAAGCTTATTCTCGACCATAACCCAATCTAAAAACACGTTAAAATTGTGCAGCAGCAGGACATCATCTTTTATTGAAATTTTTTTTTTTCATTTTGCCGACGCGCATGGCTACGGCGACGCGCGCGCATACCAGAAACCGGAGATTTTGTTTGTTTTGGCCTTACTATAACTGTTACATTTTTTATGTGAATACGGGAGGGGGGTTGACCCCCTCTGGTTCCGCACCTGCACTCCCTGTAGTAAAAGTGCTTAAAGGCTATTTATAAGATGGAATGTGCGTCTGCGTGATGTAAATTCAATATTGGGTTGTTTACTCAGTGTTGCAGGAGGCCTAGTGGGAGGTTCGAGTCCCGCCCGAGTAGTATGTGTATTTTTCTCACAAGCACTCGAACAACACTGAGTAAACGGAGTTTGTAAAATACGTCAGCGAAGGGCAAAACCCAATATTGCATTCGCTTAAGATTTATAAAACGTTTGTATATTTGATTTCTGACGATTTCTGTAAATGTGCCAATTTAGTTTTTAGTATCATAATTTATTGTGACAATTGTGATAAGCACGATATTACTAAATAATTGATATTACTGTAATATACTTTTTTGGATACTTTGATCCAATTTTTCTATATCAAATAATATCTGAACAAATTTTAGTAGGTATAAAGTTTATTAGAATACGTATAAAAACCTTTTTTTCTTAAAACCGAAATATACAGATATATTCTTATAGTACTGTTTGATTCATTTGAACAAATTTAGTTGTGTACCAAATATAAAATACTCCTGATGATGATAACATAAAGAATTTCGTTGTATCACATGCAGTTCATTATATCAGAATAAAACAAAACAAAAGTTGATCCTTTAAAACTGTCCTCATAAAAATCTAAAGAAACGAAGTTGCTCAACTAATGTTCCAAGCAGTGTTGTAGTCGAGTCCATCACAAGTCCAGACACAAGTAACTGAATGAACAATGACAAACTTATCTCACTCAGCCTCAGTGAAGATAATTGCAACAAGTCCCACCGCCTTCAAATATACTTAGCGAAAGTAGATAGTAAGCAGCACAAGTTCCTTTTTTGAACTAGCAGGACAGTTCTTATCAGAACTAAATCTACTGAGCAAAAGTAGATACAACCACATGGTGTTACCGCAAACCGAAACTATATTGACAAAGGAGTGCTTTTGTCACAGTTCATTTGAATAGCTGGTGACTTGACTTGAGACTGAAGGACCTGCAATGGACTCGTGATGAACTTCCATGGACTAGTGGGGACTTGTGATAGACTCGACTACAACACTGGTTCCAAGAATGACTACAATATCCTCCAAAAGACAATACACATCCCTGCTTTTTCCCCAATGAATTACACAGCTGGCTGCAGTAACTGTTCACACACCCCACACCTGTTTATGCATCAATGAAACTTTTCTGAGAGTATTGTGGGAGCACATCAAAACATTCCCAGCTTAGTTGGTTTTGACTGCCTGCCTTGTTCATGCTGCAGCCATATTGGATTAAAAACCTTCAAATATGGTCCATGCAGGTACGCGATGATCACAAACATGCATGAAGCTCACCTGCACACACCACCTAAAGATTGTCATGTACAATGGCCCAAGCATTGTGCTAGCTATGAGCTCTGTGAACAAACAGAGAGGGCGCTTTCTTTTACCATGTTTGAGGGCTCAGTGGACAGGACACACCACGTGTGTGTACTCGGGGGCGCGCGTGTAGCACGAAATTTAAAGCACAAAGTTTAAAGCACAACTTATTTTACTGTGAATGTGCACAAAAGCCAAAGCGTCTTCGCATGAGTGTCAGGTGTTGTCGGCAATGCGTTCCAATGTCTCTCCCAGTGGTCTCAACCAACTCTCCCTTTGTTGCCGTTGTAGGGGTACTTGTGCACGGAGCCCGTTGCTCAGATAATCTGCCATGGGGCAGTTGCTCTGTACAATGGGCTCCGTTCACAAGTATCCCCTCACCGGCAAGGATGGGAGAGTTGGGATCGGGAGAGACATTCAAAAGCATCACCGACAAAGCCTGATGCTCATGAGATCGATGCCATGGCTTTGTGCACATTTAGAATAAAATCAGTCGTGTGTACTTTGCGCTATATGCGCGTGTGTCATGGAGCATCGCAAGCACAATTTTTTTTCTGTGCATGCTACGAGAAGATTTATTTTGTTCAGCCTGTGAAGGGATGGAAAGCCCAAGTTTGTTTTTCCAAAACATGGAAAAGCCTGATGAATGGGAGGTTTGCAGTAACATCATGTGAATGAAAGATATCTCTTAGTGAGTTGTGTGGTTCTGAGAAGAACCAGTTGGTTTAAATCGACGCTTTGAACAGTATGCCCTGCTCGTCATCAAGAGTGTCAGCCTGAATTGAAAACAGGCATCCTGATTATAAAGTGATCTTACCTCCCTCCTGAGCAAAAAAAAGCTACTTTCGGTAATCCTTATCTTTAGGACACCTCTATTTTTTTACTAGTTCTGTTCAAAACTTACTTTTGCAGATGACTGTCCAGTACCAAAGTGACTTTTGCAGGCTAAAGCAGTCTTTTTTCTTCATATAAATTCATGTTAGTTGTAATTTTGAAAGCATTTTCAAAGAAAATGTGACTTTCCTACCCTGTTTGACTCAGTTTTCTGTTCATCATCGACGTGTTTTCCCCCTCATTTTCCCTCATAAATCAAAGCCCTGCCAGCCTCTTTCCACAAAATTAAACCAGCTGATATTCAAGGCATCATACTGTTCAGATATAGGCCTTTCTTTTGTTTGTAAACATTGGCGCCATTTTGTATGGGCTGCCGTAAGCGCATAAATTGAAGCCGTGGTTGGCCCACATATTTTTCCAAAAAAAGTCCTCATTACGCCATCAACACATAGTAAAAAGGCATGTGTATGAATTATTTAATAGCTATTGTTGAAAATGCTGTATTTTCAAATGTCAAATAATATTTTGGTGATCTGTAATAACTCTTCTTCATTTTTGCAGTGTTGGACCTTCCATAGTTTTGCAGCCGTGGTTGGCAAAAATGCAGTTTGCCAATCAAGCGCAGAAAGGTCTATATGACAAGCAATATCAGAATGTCACTTTTGAGTGTCATTTAGTCAGTTGTTGGTGAGTCTTTTGTTGGTTAGTCAGTTGTTTGGTGAGTCTTTTTCACCTTGTATAGGAAAGGGGTCCTAAAAGTAAGGATTACCCTACTTTCTATCCATGTAACAAGACGCATCTTTCGGACCACAGCCATTAAAGAGTCTCATATGAGGGTTGTCAAGGTCTCGTTCCTGGACACAGACACAACGCCAATTGCTGGAGCCAGGAGTAAAGTACCGTCTTGGAACACCAGCCCATTTACGGACTATTCCACCACTGGGGACACAAAATATAAAACTTAAGTGAATAAGTGTGAAAATGGAGGATTTTAAAACCTACAGGTTCTTTGCCTTGTAAGGAAAGAGAAAGTTGAAATCAATAAATAAATAAGTTTAAAATGTATACATCAATGGGTTTGTTGAAAAATGAAAGACGCAAGTGCTTTTCTACACAAAAAACATTTGGAGAACCCATAAATTGTATGTGAATTAATCATTACTTACACGTTATATTTGGGAAATTTGTGGGGAAAGTTTTGCAAATAATTTGGCAATGTACAAATTGTACACTAGAGTACATTAAAGTATCAGGAAATGTCATTTTCATAAAAAAAAATTGAAAAACCCAAGAGGCTTAAGGAATTTGGAAGCCTGAACTGCGCTAGCCCAAAGTAGACCTGACAAGGACAGCTAAAAGTAATAAAATATTGAGAAACCTGATCACCTTTTATCCGAACACCATATTTTTGTGCCGTCTTTTTGAGTCCATGAGGAGTTGCAAGGGGGATACTTTCTATTAAACTCCGCCTCTTTTTCCTTTTCTTTCCTCCCCTCCTCCAAAACCAGCTCTGCTCTCTTGAATGCGTCTGTCGGGGCTCCTGAAGCATCATAGTGTCTTCCAATTAGTTTACCTTAAATTAAAAGTGAACAAAAGTAAAACTGCTGCAAACTGCTTACTGACTGGATGGACCTGAAATATATAAATCTTAAAATTAATGTGGCCTGACGTTGCGAACTTAGCAAGTTCTTCTTCAGAGGCTAAAACAGAAATGACAGAGGTACATACATTAACAAGGGGGTGCACACAAACATGCAGGGCTGAAAGAAGAAACACAAAAGGAGGATTAGGTGGGAAAGATGCAGGGGAGGGTGGATGAGAGAACAAAGAAACAAAGGAAGATGGCAAACCACAAGGGGTCTGGTGTAAACAGGGGAGGGACCAGAAAGGGGAAGGATCAAAGGTCACAGGGAGTGGGAACGGACAAAAGAGTGTGAGAGTGAAGGGATGATGGGGGGGGGGGACAGTATTGAGGTGGAAAGGGATGAAAGATGGGGGAAGATGTGTAAACACAAACAAGGAAGACCAGATGGATTATCTGTAACAGAGGACAATGGAGGAAGAAAAGGATTAATCATTTCCAAGTTGGATGTTGAGACCATGTGGTTGAATAGTTCGAAGACGATTCATCCACACCTTCTCTCTGCTGAGGCGAACTGACTCTTTGCGATGGCCAAGAGATTCAATGCCCTGCAAAATCATATCAGAAATGGAGTGGTTAGGCAGGTTGAAGTGATGACCAACAGGGGTGTCTAGTTTCTTGGTGTTGACCGTTGATCGATGGGCATAGAGACGCTTCTTGAGCGTATTCTTAGTCTCACCTACATACTGCACTCCACAGACCCTGCAAGAAATGAGATATATGACATTAGAGGTGTTACAAGTGATGTTACCAATGGTTCTGTGGGTAGTGACAGAAGAGTGGCCAGAAAAGGAGTCAGACTCCTGGATATGAATCTGGCAGACAACACATCTGGAACTGCACTTGAAAGTACCATGCTGGGTGGGAGGGGATGCATCTAAGGATGGGACTTCAGCTCGAACAATCAAGTCCCGTAGATTTCGAGGACGCCTGTAAGCCAATGTGGGGCCGTTGGGGATGGCACGGGCAAGGCGATCTGAAGTATGGAGGATATGATGATTGTCATTAGTGATTTTGCGGAGGGGAGGGAGATTGGGGTGAAACGTGGTAACCAAGGGAATCATGGGTTTGGCCATGGCATCAGGGGCCTTTCCCGTGAGAGCTAGATTTCTGGGGATAGATTTAGCTCTGGCAATGGCACGATGAACTTGGCGAGAGCTGTGGCCCCTGGCCACCAAGTTGTTCCTCAGTATCTGTGTATGGCGGGAGAAATCGGAATCATTAGAACAAATTCTTCTGAGTCTGAGTGCCTGGCTAAACGCTATGCCAGTTTTGCAGTGCCTGGGGTGACAGCTGGAGGAGTGGGGGTACTGGTGGGTGTCTGTGGGTTTGGAATACAGGTCAGTGGTTAGTGAGTTGCCTTGCTTGCGGACAGTGACATCCAGAAAGTGGGTTTGGTGAGCTGAGAACTCCGATGTGAATTTGATGGTTCTGTGGAAGGAATTGATGTGGTTAGTGAAGGCCAAGAGACTGTCCTCATCACTGGTCCAGATGAAGAAAACATCATCAATATATCTCCACCAGATCCAAGGGCGACATGGGGCTGAGGCAAGAATGCGTTCTTCGAGGTCACCCATGAAGAGGCAAGCCATCGACGGGGCCATGCGAGTGCCCATTGCAGTGCCGTGTACCTGTAGATAGTGTTCACCAAGGAAGGAAAAATTGTTCTTCGTTAGTATAAGTCTCATGAGGGTGCCAACATCACTGATGGGAGGAGTCGTGTGTCCTGCCTTGGCCAGAGCCAAGGAGCAAGCACGAACACCCTCCTCATGTGGGATGTTGGTGTACAGAGATGAGACGTCGAAAGTCCCAATGATGGCTGTGCTGGGAATCTGGTCCTTGATTCCTTCAAGCTTGCGTAGGAAGTCTGGGGTGTCGTGAATGTATGACGAAATCTGTGGGACAAGGGGTTTGAGAAAACTGTCAATGAACAGGGAGATGCGTTCCGTGGGTGAGCCATTACCGGAGATGATGGGTCTACCGGGGTTGCCAGCCTTGTGAATCTTGGGTAGAAGGTAAAATCTGGCAGTCCTACAATCACAGGGAGAAAGAAATTTGTGAGCTTTCTTCGACAACTGGTCACGTGATCGCATATCGTCAAGTACCTGTTGTATATCTTGACAGAAAGTGCCTGTGGGGTCAGAGTCAAGGCGGGTATAGTTAGTGCGGTTATCCAACTGGAGGTGGGCCTCATCAATGTACTGCTGACGATCCATGATGACCACAGCTGAACCTTTATCTGCTGGCTTGATGATGATGTCGGTGCGAGAGCGCAAGGAGTTGAGAGCCAGGCGCTCCTCTCTGGGGAGATTATCATGAGTCCTGTGGGGGAAGTTGTCCGGGTTAGTGACTTGGGAATTGATAACTTGAACGTATGTCTCTATGGCTGGCACACGATTCTTGGGGGGTACCCATGAACTCTTGACTCGAAAAGGCTCTGGCTCACACGGTTCACTGTCCAGGAAAAACTCACGCAGACGGATTCTACGGTAGTATTCCGTGAGATCTTGGCTGAGCTGAACCTGGTTCACAGAACGGGGAGCGGGACACACGACTCCTCCCATCAGTGATGTTGGCACCCTCATGAGACTTATACTAACGAAGAACAATTTTTCCTTCCTTGGTGAACACTATCTACAGGTACACGGCACTGCAATGGGCACTCGCATGGCCCCGTCGATGGCTTGCCTCTTCATGGGTGACCTCGAAGAACGCATTCTTGCCTCGGCCCCATGTCGCCCTTGGATCTGGTGGAGATATATTGATGATGTTTTCTTCATCTGGACCAGTGATGAGGACAGTCTCTTGGCCTTCACTAACCACATCAATTCCTTCCACAGAACCATCAAATTCACATCGGAGTTCTCAGCTCACCAAACCCACTTTCTGGATGTCACTGTCCGCAAGCAAGGCAACTCACTAACCACTGACCTGTATTCCAAACCCACAGACACCCACCAGTACCTCCACTCCTCCAGCTGTCACCCCAGGCACTGCAAAACTGGCATAGCGTTTAGCCAGGCACTCAGACTCAGAAGAATTTGTTCTAATGATTCCGATTTCTCCCGCCATACACAGATACTGAGGAACAACTTGGTGGCCAGGGGCCACAGCTCTCGCCAAGTTCATCGTGCCATTGCCAGAGCTAAATCTATCCCCAGAAATCTAGCTCTCACGGGAAAGGCCCCTGATGCCATGGCCAAACCCATGATTCCCTTGGTTACCACGTTTCACCCCAATCTCCCTCCCCTCCGCAAAATCACTAATGACAATCATCATATCCTCCATACTTCAGATCGCCTTGCCCGTGCCATCCCCAACGGCCCCACATTGGCTTACAGGCGTCCTCGAAATCTACGGGACTTGATTGTTCGAGCTGAAGTCCCATCCTTAGATGCATCCCCTCCCACCCAGCATGGTACTTTCAAGTGCAGTTCCAGATGTGTTGTCTGCCAGATTCATATCCAGGAGTCTGACTCCTTTTCTGGCCACTCTTCTGTCACTACCCACAGAACCATTGGTAACATCACTTGTAACACCTCTAATGTCATATATCTCATTTCTTGCAGGGTCTGTGGAGTGCAGTATGTAGGTGAGACTAAGAATACGCTCAAGAAGCGTTTCTATGCCCATCGATCAACGGTCAACACCAAGAAACTAGACACCCCTGTTGGTCATCACTTCAACCTGCCTAACCACTCCATTTCTGATATGATTTTGCAGGGCATTGAATCTCTTGGCCATCGCAAAGAGTCAGTTCGCCTCAGCAGAGAGAAGGTGTGGATGAATCGTCTTCGAACTATTCAACCACATGGTCTCAACATCCAACTTGGAAATGATTAATCCTTTTCTTCCTCCATTGTCCTCTGTTACAGATAATCCATCTGGTCTTCCTTGTTTGTGTTTACACATCTTCCCCCATCTTTCATCCCTTTCCACCTCAATACTGTCCCCCCCCCCCCATCATCCCTTCACTCTCACACTCTTTTGTCCGTTCCCACTCCCTGTGACCTTTGATCCTTCCCCTTTCTGGTCCCTCCCCTGTTTACACCAGACCCCTTGTGGTTTGCCATCTTCCTTTGTTTCTTTGTTCTCTCATCCACCCTCCCCTGCATCTTTCCCACCTAATCCTCCTTTTGTGTTTCTTCTTTCAGCCCTGCATGTTTGTGTGCACCCCCTTGTTAATGTATGTACCTCTGTCATTTCTGTTTTAGCCTCTGAAGAAGAACTTGCTAAGTTCGCAACGTCAGGCCACATTAATTTTAAGATTTAAATTAAAAGTATGAGACGAAAGTGAGTCAACAGGAGCGTTTCTGTGGAAGAATAATCAAAGTTTTGTGAGGGGAAAAAAGGCCACATCAGATGATTTTCTGTAATCATACAGTGTGTCCCCCCAAAAAAATGTCCCTCTGATTGACTGCTAAATTAATTCCAAAATCAAGTATTATTCTCAATTTAGTGTTCAGATTAAGAAAGCCCATTTAATTTTGTAACTTCTGTGAAAATTTCATTGGCCTCGCTTCATTGGTTTTGAATACACTGTCTATTATGTAACAGCAGTGCTTTTCAGCCCATTCCAAGTTTGCAGGTGGAAGGATATGCAGGAGGACAATAAAGGTTTACTAGCTGGACATTGAAGAACAAACCATAAGTGGAACACACACTGTGAAAGCAAACACGACCACAAAAACAAGAACACAGTTGTTGAAATAAAAGTGAAGCATGGAATAAGGTATGGTATGTCTGTAGCGTGAATTTCTTTTTATCAAACTTGGAATGGGCCGGAAAGCACTGCTGTTACATAAAAGCCTGTGCATTCGAAACCAATGAAGCGAGACCTTTGAAATTTTCACAGGAACTACAAAATTAAGTGGGCTTTCTAAATATGTAAACTTAATTGAGTATAAAACTTGATTTTGGTAATTATTCTGTGGTCTATGAGAGGGACATTTTTTTTGGGACACGCTGTATGTCAGCAGATTTTAATAGAGTAAGTCTCAAGTCACCACAGGTCCATCTCACATTATCCAGTCTCAATTCGGGCGATTCACAATGCAGTGCGCCACCAAGAGCTTACCACGGAGAGTTCATTTTTCCAAGTGCATTGTGGGAGATGGCCGACAAATTCACAGCGCGGGACATTTGAAATTGTTCGTTTTTCCGGTCAGTTAGTTTCGTAAGCGTATGAATCGAGTATTTGTTTGCCCCTATCTTTTCTTTTTATCAATATGGTGTTTTTTTGTATTAAAGGCGACAGAACGCTTTGCCCCAATCTATGACAAATTAGCTCAAGTTGTCTACTGACACTCATTCAAATGGGCCATGTTGTCGACCGTAAACTTGAAAAGTATACTCTCCATGGCAAAGTCTTGGTGGCGCACTGCATTGTGAATCTCCTGAATTAAGTTACATCTCCTGAATTAAGTCACAAGTGTGGTATTGTGACATTTTCGCTGTTCCATGTTTACCCCCAGTTCTTGTGACCTAACTTGTGGTGTGACTCGACTTGGGACTCACTTGTGATTGACTTTATTACAAATCTGTGGTACAGTTCATGCCGTATTTCAGCCATGTCTTAAAAGGCATTGTGAGCTGTGACTGCACACCAGGGCCCATTGGGCCAAATAAAAAAAATATGTTTAGCGTCCTGCCTTTTTGAAAAAAAGGACAGAGGAGGCCCTTTTTTTTCCCTCCAAAATGCCAAAATGGCTGCCCGATCGGGCTATTTTTCAAGATGGCCGCCAGCTTTTCTTTTTAAATGGCCAACACTTAGACTCAGGAAATGACATACCAGCTTTGTATGGGCCAAATTGATGTCACTGTTTAAAATTTATCATTTCTTTGTTAATATTTTTTTCCAAGAAAAAGAAAAGAAGGCGACCTCAAAAAGGAAGCGGGCGGGGACAATAACATGATTCCATAAACAAGGATCACATCTACTGCAAGACAACAGCCTAAGCACACAACACACTTGCTCCATTTGTTTTTAACAATTTCACTCACCAACCGGTACGTATTCCTTCTTGTAAAAGTTTACCCAAGTCTCCACTTCTATCATCTGCTGTGGACTTAGTCCTTCCACATCATCCACCAACCCTTCATCGTTAAACTCTCCAGTGACGAAAGCTCTCGTTGCATCACACCCAGCAAAGAACTCATACCCGCCTCCGGGCCCGTAGTGCCTGGCACCTTTCCCCACATCAAACACTTGGCCGAAGAGGGCGAGATAAAGACCCTTGCTCCCCTCTTTGCCATTGTACTGTGCCAATTCTTCCTTAGTCAGCAGTCGTTGGGGCTGTTCCACTTGCGGTGGCAGGGGTGCTTTGGCCTCTTCTTTGGATCCCTCCTGCTGGCCCGGTTCCTCTGAATGCCCAATCACATTATTCAGATTGCGGGTGATTGCTGCACTGATGTCCTCCCATTTATAGAACTCCAGCTGCCAAGCTATCACTGCAGTTATGACCACTGCAAGGGCAACTCGACCAAACATGGTTTTCAGATGTTTTTAGCCTTCACCTGCAACTTCAAAAACGTGAATACCAGGCAGTGATGTATAAAGTTCATTGATACCACTTTTGATTGCAAATTAAATGAGAAGAAACATTGAATATTTAAAAATAATCAACATATTATTATTTGAACAGCTGTCAAGTTCGAACATCAAAAATGTCAGATATTGGCCCCAGACTGTTGTACCACATACAATTAGGCCTACATCCTGATCTGCATACTCAGTTATTAACAATTTGAAACAGATAAAACTAAGAAAAAGAAGTCAACAAAGCTAAAGCCACCCCCCCCCCCCCCAGGTGCCCTAATTCTAGCAGGGATTGGAGTAATTGCAGAAAACCCCGCCACTCGGAAATACACCCCTAAAATCATCTGGCTACGCGGTTGGAATCGCTGGAAAAGAAGCAATTCAAGTCCAAACCAATTGTTGCCAGCTATGCGGACACTGAGTGGAGGTCCCGCCTTGAGAACTAATGCACCCCTCCAATTTTAATACGCTTTTGCACACCCCCTAGGGAGTGAGGGTTAAGGGGTTAACCATGCATACATTGGGTCGAAGTGTGTTGCAACGGGAAAAAATCGTATACCCGATCACCACTTACCTGCCGACAAACAAATACATTTTCACCTCACCTTGTGATTTCAACCAAGAGGAATCCAGGAAACAGCGGACATGCGAAAAAAAATTAGTAAAAATGTGTTTTTAGAGCACATTTTGGATGCACATGTAGTGCAGATATCCGAGTTGAAGCAGCCGGTCAAAACTGATTGAAGTGTCTGGAACAGCGGTACGTTATACGCATGACATCGACAACCATGACGTCGCATGAGACGGCCAATGATAGTGCAATACGTCATTATGAATATTTATTTTCTCATGAATATTTAGTTTATTTCAATGGCTAATTCAAATACGTCCAAAGATTGATCATTGCAACAGCGATCGTGCGCGGCCTAGCGGTTAAGAGTCTCGTGTATCAAGCAAGCGTCCGAGGTTTCAATCTTAATGAAGTAAGTGACTGATTGATAAATAGAAATTAAGGAAAGGAGAGGGTGAGAGTAGAGGAGGGAAAGTGGAGGGAATAACCATAATTTATTTTTCTTGGCATATGAAAAGATTAATTGAAAATTAATTGGAAAAAGTGGTGATCGAGTATGGATTTTTTTCCAACGATAAAATATATTATATAGGGCTGAGGTTATTAACTCCAGCTAGCCGAAACTGTATAATAACGCCCTCTATCGTCCGACTCCAATTTTAAGTTTCGTTAAAATACCGCACAAATGTCCTAGTTTCGCTGCCACAGAAGCACTGCCCTGTATAAGAAACAGTTATCTATATCCCTATACATGTATGCCTATATACCTACATACCCGAAAATCAAATACCTTTATTCCTGTCCATAAAACTTAAGACGTTTTTAAGGATGACAATATCTACCGTGCTAACAGATCGCACTTGTGCACAGATCAACTTCGCCTAAGGGCGCGGCCATGACAGGCTCTTCAGGACCCTTTTTAAATGTGGGTTAATGAGTAGCCCAATTTTAAGATTTGAGGCAGGAAAATGTCCTTTATAAATATATTGATGTCGTTGTATTTTTGCCTACCATGAAACGCCTCATTTTGTAATAAATTATATTCTTGTAGTTATTTATCAAATAAGGCTGGGGTCTGGTCACCGGTCGCGCGGGGGTTAATCGAATCCCAAGTTAATCGGATAATCGAATCTACATCTGGCCAGCTGCGCTGCACTGATGCTCAGGGGGCGGAGCCTGCATTTGTCTAGCTTGGTCTACAGTGTGAGTATCCCGAGAAAGTACAGGTAGGCCTACAATTTAGTACAAACATGGTCATGGAGCTATAAAAAGTTTGGTACAAACAAATAGCTGTGTGGTGGTTGCACTGGTTAGGCCTAGGTAGTCCGAGTAACTAATTGGACCCAACTTATCGCCTTTTTTAACATTTGGACATGGTCTGGCGATAGTCAGACCATGTCCAAATGTTCAAAACAGGCGATAAGTTGGGTCCAAGTTACTCGGACTAAGTCCTAGGCTAGTCCGAGTAACTTGGACCTAGCCCCACTACTCGTGGCCGCGGTATGCTGCGCAAAGGTTCAGCACAGCATACCGCGGCCTCACTAGTGGGGCTAACTTGGACCCAACTTATCGCCTTTTTAAACATTTGGACATGGTCTGACTATCGCCAGACCAAAGGCAATAAGTTGGGTCCAAGTTAATCGGACTAAGTTGAAATCAGGGTAATCCTTATCTTTAGGACACCTCGGCTCTATTTTTACGAGTTCTGTTCAAAACTGACTTTTGCAGATGACTGTCCTGTACCAACATGACCAAAGTGACTTTTGCAGGCTAAAGCAGTCTGTCCCCACCAACCTGTAAAATGATTTTCTCTACACTTAATTTGAAATCGTGTGTATAGCCACTTTAGCAGCTCTTGTTGGTAATGGTTCTACTTTGCAAAGTAATATACTGGTTGTTCATAAAGTGATATTTTGTCTGTGAATAGAAGAAGCCAATCAACATCATGAGTGTGACAGACCAAGGATTCACCATCGATGACGTCCGGCAGGCGGAGCAGCGCATCAAGGGCTATGCCACCAAGACACCTGTGATGACATCACATCGTATGGATGCGAAGGCTGGACGCAAAGTGTTCTTCAAATGCGAGCTGTTCCAGCGAACTGGATCTTTCAAGGTAATTTGGTCCTGTCTCGGCAGCTGGTAGGTGGTAACAATGGGGCCTAGGAGACACCAACTCCCCTCCCCCTCCCTCCGCCTTACCCCAACCCACCCCCAATTCAAACCCCAACCCTTCCCACCAAGTCACCCCAGGACCCCCACCTTCCAACCCAAAGCCAAGCCCCTCAACCCAGCCCCTCAACCCAACCCCAGCCCCTCTAACTAACAAATTTGCCTATGCCATACTAGTTCATCAACTTTTCAGCCTTTCATAATTTCAATAAACAATTTTCAAATAAATTTACTTTTTTGGTTTCCATCTTTTTTTCCTTTGCAAGTTCCGCGGAGCAGTCAACTTCTTATCCAAGCTCCTGGAGCAGTCGAAGGACGGTCCGGCACCCTGCGTCACCACCCACAGCAGCGGTAACTTTGCCCAGAGTCTTGCTCTTGCCTCCAATCTACTGGGCGCCAAGGCTTACGTGGTCATGCCCAGCATTGCACCACAGTGCAAACAGGATGCTGTGAAAGAGTATGGCGCGGAACTGATACTGTGCACACCTACTGAACAGGTTGGTCTTTTTTGTCAGGTTCTTTAATAAGGGAATAAATGTGTGCTCCGGAGGTTTTTATCACTCTGTTTAATACCACTTAGAGTCTGGGTGCTGATAATTACCCGAGCCGGAGGCGAGGGTAATTATCAGCACCCAGACTCTAAGTGGTATTAAACAGAGTGATAAATACCGACGGAGTACATATTTATTCCCATTCATAAATACCTTTTCGGTAAAAAAAAATCATATAATTCGTTCAAAACATCCCGATTTTGTTCAACAAATTCACTTTATGCTTTTTGAATCATCCCTCCTGCAAAATAATGGAGTGTTCAGCTGGCGAGTAAGATGAAAACAACCCTTTTATGGAGATTGACGCGCGCGTATCGTGTTCTATGCGATGTCGCGCAGAACGCACCTGGCGCGTTGCATTTTGAATTTAGAACTATAAAATTCTAACTCCCTGGTAGTGTTGCGCATGCCTACGTGAGGATTGTGAACGTTCAACCAATGAAACGATAAGAGGCACTGGATTTTTAGGAGTCCACATTTTATTGTGACACTGGAAAAGTGTTTAAGACCAGCTAGCCATGTCTTTATCATCCGTTTAATACCGGCCACGTGACGGGCTCTCGACCAATAGGAATGGCTAAACTGTCTGAGGTATTTATGAATCATGAGTAACTCATTGAGATCACTTTTGATCAGAATTAGTTAAACAGAGAGGGTGGCTGGAGCTAGTCTTGGTTGAGGACTTGTACTGGTTTTTGTTCACCTAACACAGCTGGATTCAGTCTCTGGTGAGCGCGGTCAAGCCAACACCAAGGCAGTCTCAACCAGATGAATTAATCTATTTTTAAAAACCGTGGCCCTGCACTATTAAGCTGAGAAATTCTGCTGTAATCAAGCTAATGTGCACGCCTCACAGTGTTGTAGTCGATACCTCCATATCAGAGACCGAAACCAAGACCGAGGCGTTCGAGACCGAGACCCAGACCAAGACCAGCTCTTTGAGACTGAGACCGGACTTCCGAGACCGAGACTTTTGCAGGCCGGTTTTTCCATCATCTTAAATAGTCAAAGCATTGGTCATTTTATTAATGTTTAAAATAAAAGAAGTTTGCTTTTTAACAAAATTTCACCAAAAAGGGATGTCAAATAGTTTTTATATGTTTAAGAGGAGTAGAAATGTGCACAAAATGTGTTCCAGAGAAAAATTCATCACGTGGATCTTCAAAACATTTTCAGCCAGAAACACAGGACTAACATCCACCCTCGCTTCATCCTAGCTCCTTTGGCATTTTGTGCTAGGAAAAAAAATAGTCCAAAATCCATCGCTGTGCATCCCTTAAAGCCCATAAAAAATAATGGTACAAGGGCTCTCTTCTGCAATTCATGCAAAATGCTCTGAAACCTGTAGTCTTGATGCTTGATACTTGTAATCCTTATACAGCTCCTCTTGAGCTAAACTAGGATGTCTTTGTGGATATGTTAGGATTATAGTTAGCTCATCAGTTTGATTTTTCTCTTATCGTTCAGGGTCGTGTCGCAGCTAAAGATAAGGTGGTGGAGGAGAAAGGAGCTGTGTATGCACCCTCCTCCCAACACCATGACATCATGGCCGGCCAGGGAACTATGTTCACAGAAATGTTTGAACAGGTAAACAATACCAATCTCGTCTGATAAGGAAACTTTCTGTTAATTGTTCAGGGTCGTATCGCAGCTAAAGATAAGGTAGTGGAGGAGAAAGGAGCTGTGTATGCACCTACCTCACAGCATCATGACATCATGGCCGGACAGGGAACTATGTTCACAGAAATGTTTGAACAGGTAAACAATACCAATCTCCTCAGACAAGGACATTCCAAACTATTATGTAGTACATCACACCATTGGGTGGGGCAGACATCACACCATTGGGTGAGGCAGACATAACACAATTGGGTAGGGCGGACATCACACCATTGGGTGGTGCGAACATCACACCATTGGGTGGGGCAGACATCACACCATTGGGTGGGGCAGACATCACACCATTGGGTGGAGCAGACATTACACCATTGGGTGGGGCAGACATCACACCATTGGGTAGGGCAGACATCACACCATTGGGTGGGGCGGACATCACACCATTGGGTGGAGCGGACATCACACCATTGGGTGGGGCAGACATCACACCATTGGGTGGGGCAAACATCACACCATTGGGTGGGGCAGACATCACACCATTGGGTGGGGTGGACATCACACCATTGGGTGGAGCGGACATCACACCATTGGGTGGAGCGGACATCACACCATTGGGTGGGGCAGACATCACACCATTGGGTGGGGCAAACATCACACCATTGGGTGGGGTGGACATCACACCATTGGGTGGGGCAGACATCACACCATTGGGTGGAGCGAACATCACACCATTGGGTGGGGCAGACATCACACCATTGGGTGGAGCGGACATCACACCATTGGGTGGAGCAGACATCACACCATTGGGTGGGGCGGACATCACAACATTGGGTGGAGTGGACATCACACCATTGGGCGAGGCGGACATCCCACCATTGGGTGGGGCGGACATCACACCATTGGGTGGGGCAGACATCACACCATTGGGTGGGGTGGACATCACACCATTGGGCGAGGCGGACATCCCACCATTGGGTGGGGCGGACATCACACCATTGGGTGGGGCAGACATCACACCATTGGGTGGGGTGGACATCACACCATTGGGCGAGGCGGACATCACACCATTGGGTGGGGCAGACATCACAACATTGGGTGGAGTGGACATCACACCATTGGGTGAAGCGGACATCACACCATTGGGTGGAGCGGACATCACACCATTGGGTGGAGCGGACATCACACCATTGGGTGGGGCGGACATCACACCATTGGGTGGGGCAAACATCACACCATTGGGTGGGGTGGACATCACACCATTGGGTGGAGCGGACATCACACCATTGGGTGGGGCAGACATCACACCATTGGGTGGGGCAAACATCACACCATTGGGTGGGGTGGACATCACACCATTGGGTGGGGCGGACATCACACCATTGGGTGGGGCAGACATCACACAATTGGGTGGGGCAAACATCACACCATTGGGCGAGGCGGACATCACACCATTGGGTGAAGCGGACATCACACCATTGGGTGAAGCGGACATCACACCATTGGGTGGGCAGACATCACACCATTGGGTGGAGCAGACATCACACCATTGGGTGGAGCGGACATCACACCATTGGGTGAAGCGAACATCACAACATTGGGTGGGCGGACATCACACCATTGGGTGGGCAGACATCACACCATTTGGTGGGGCAGACATCACACCATTGGGTGGGGCGGACATTACACCATTGGGTGGGGCAGATATCACAACATTGGGTGGGGCAGACATCACAACATTGGGTGGGGCAGACATCACACCATTGGGTGGGGCGGACATTACACCATTGGGTGGGGCGGACATCACACCATTGGGTGGGGCGGACATCACACCATTTGGTGGGGCAGACATCACAACATTGGGTGGGGCAGACACACACCATTGGGTGGAGCAGACATCACACCATTGGGTGGGGCAGACATCACACCATTGGGTGGGGTGGACATCCCACCATTGGATGGAGCAGACATCTTACCATTGGGTGGGGCGGACATCAAACCATTGGGTGGGGTGGACATCCCACCATTGGGTGGGGTGGACATCCCACCATTTGATGGAGCAGACATCACACCATTGGGTGGGGCAGACATCACACCATTGGGTGGGGCAAACATCACACCATTGGGTGGGGTGGACATCACACCATTGGGTGGGGCGGACATCACACCATTGGGTGGGGCAGACATCACACAATTGGGTGGGTGGGTGGGGGGGTGGGTGGGTGGGTGGGTGGGTGGGTGGGTGGGTGGGGGGTGGTGGGTGGGTGGGTGGGTGGGTGGGTGGGTGGGGGTGGGTGGGTGGGTGGGTGGGTGGGTGGGTGGGTGGGTGGGTGGGTGGGTGGGTGGGTGGGTGGGTGGGTGGGTGGGTGGGTGGGTGGGTGGGTGGGTGGGTGGGTGGGTGGGTGGGTGGGTGGGTGGGTGGGTGTGTCCGGACAAATCTTGTCAGCGCGATAACTTGAGAAATACTTAACATATGAACTTCAAATTTGGTTTGTGGATTGTTCTTGGTAACCCTAAAAAGCCTTTCGCATTTGGGGCCAAAAGGCCAAAGGTCAAGTTCACAGTGGCTAAAACAATAGAAATCTTGTCAACGCGATAACTTGAGAAATACTTAACATATGAACTTCAAATTTGGTTAATGAATTGTTCTTGGTAATCCTAAGAAGCCTTTCGCATTTGGGGCCAAAAGGCCAAAGGTCAAGTTCACAGTGGCTAAAACAATAGAAATCTTGTCAGCGCGATAACTTGAGAAATACTTTACATGTGAACTTCAAATTTGGTTTGTGGATTGTTTTTGGCAATCCTAAGAAGCCTTTCGCATTTGGGGCCAAAAGGCCAAAGGTCAAGTTCACAGTGGCTAAAACAATAGAAATCTTGTCAGCGCGATAACTTGAGAAATACTTTACATGTGAACTTCAAATTTGGTTTGTGGATTGTTTTTGGCAATCCTAAGAAGCCTTTCGCATTTGGGGCCAAAAGGCCAAAGGTCAAGTTCACAGTGGCTAAAACAATAGAAATCTTGTCAGTGCGATAACTTGAGAAATACTTTACATGTGAACTTCAAATTTTGTTTGTGGATTGTTTTTGGCAATCCTAAGAAGCCTTTTGCATTTGGGGCCAAAAGGCCAAAGGTCAAGTTCACAGTGGCTAAAACAATAGAAATCTTGTCAGCGCAATAACTTGAGAAATACTTCACATGTGAACTTCAAATTTGGTTTGTGGATTGTTCTTGGCAATCCTAAGAAGCCTATTGCATTTGGGGTCAAAAGGTCAAGTGTCAAGTTCACAGTGGCTAAAACAATAGAAATCTTGTCAGCGCGATAACTTGAGAAATACTTAACATATGAACTTCAAATTTGGTTTGTGGATTGTTCTTGGTAATCCTAAGAAGCCGATTGAATTTGGGGCCAAAAGGTCAAGGGTCAAGTTCACAGTGGCTAAAACAATAGAAATCTTGTATTTATTCTGAGATTATAGGGATTAGGGATTAATTCATATAAAACCTACAGAAGACACTAATGCTGTCAATGAATGTTCCATGTGACCAAGGTACATGTAAGTTGATGTTAAAAGAGTGGTGTTATGTCATGGGAACAGTCACGGTTGCGGGGCATTTGTGTTTGTAAACACACCTGACTTGTTTTTTTATCAAGGTTGATGAGAAGTTGGATGCGATCATTGCTCCAGTAGGAGGCGGTGGCATGTTATCGGGGATTCTCGTAGCTGCTAAGGTATTTCGTGTAATTTATCATGTAGGATTTATTGGGTGTTGTGTAATAGTCAGGTGGCATATGGTCGGAATCGTGACCGACTGGTCCAAAGCACCAAACTTGGCAGATATATTCTTATAGCCCTAAAGAAGATATTTAGAAGGGGTGACACCTGAAATTCTTTTGGGAAGGTTGCCTAATTTGCATAAATTGTTAATCCCTGCCGTGTAATATATTTATTCCCATATTTGGGTATATTTTTATTTTTTTATTTTTTTGAAAAGTGTATTTTGTGATTCTACTTGCATATTCTTACTTCAATAACATTTTGTAAAACATATAAGTGACTGAATAATTAGGAGGATAGTAAAGAACCACAATTGCTACTATTTTACCCTAAAGTTACGCGCATTTACCTTTTCCTCAGATATCATCAACTAGTCTCGCCAAACGTGGGTATTGATGAGCTTCAAATTAACAAAGTTACTTACTGGCATAGTTACCCTAACAAAAATAAGTGGGAAATTAAGTGAAAATTGATAACATCTTGATGCTTAGCCCAAAAGACCAAAAAAGGGGAGAAAATGTAGTGTCCGTAAATTGGGCTAGTACGGGAAGGGTAACGTGGGAACCTAAACAAGTTCAAAAAATCCCCCTAAATAAGAGATTATTGTTGTTTACAATAATTTTGTCTACGCCAAAACGTTTTCTCAACAATAATTAGGGGAATTTCCTTGAACTTGTTCCAGTGTTCCATGTTAGGCAACCATTCACCTACTTGTTAGCCTAATTTATGGACACCTCGTTTTTCCCCAGTTTTTGTTTTCTGGGCTTAATATCACAATGTTATCATAGTTCACATGATTTTGCATAAGGTTTTAATAGGGTAGCTGTACCAGTAAGCTACTTGGTGAATTTGAAGTTCATCAATGCTAATGTTTGGCAAGACTAATTGATGATATTTGGAGACAAGGTAAATGCGCGCAATTTTAAGTCATAATAGTAGCCATTTTGGATCGTTACTATGTCCTCATAATTATTCAGTCACTTATATGCTTTGGAAAATGTTATTTAAGTAAAGATATGTAAGTAGAATCCCCAAAATATACTTTTCAAAAAAATTAAAAAATGGAAATATACCCAAAGATGGGAATAAATATATTACACGTCAGGGATTAACGATTTATGCAAATTAGGCACCCTTCCCAAAAGAATTTCAGGTGTCACCCCTTCTAAATATCTTCTCTAGGTCTATAAGAATATATCTGCCAAGTTTGGTGCTTTGGACCAGTCGGTCACGATCTTGACGAAAATTAGATCTAAGCCACCTGACTATAAGGATTTGCAGTACAGAACCCATTTTTGTTTCATCAAAAAAAAGCAGGTTAGATAATTAGGGCAGTATTTGGTTTGGGTATACACAGGGTGACTTTAAAAAAAAGGTAATCCTTATTTAAAGGGTTATTATGGTCAGACTATGTCTACCAGCAGAAAGCATGGTATCATCTTAAAGCCGAAGCTTTATGCTTTTCAATGATACTTTGGATTACATTCCAGGGTCACACATCATGGAGCAGTCCATTGTCTTGATGTTTTATAGAGCTGGATGATTACTGGATAATTCTTCCAGGTAAAACCGCAAACCGTCACTAGTTTACACTTCCGCAATGCAAAGTTTCAAATCTTATCAGTGAAAACCATGACAAAATGTGAGAGACGATTTTTGCATCCTGGAATATCTACCCTTTCTAATTACCAAGTTGCATGCACTTCTACCACCAGCAAGTCCGTCTAGCTTTTGACGACAAGCAAGCTGGAAAGACTTTGTGAAATAACATTTCCACTTTGTGGCTTTGTCTCTTCAAACCACCAACAGACTTTGCAGCCTGGCATCAAAGTCATTGCAGCAGAGCCGGAGTTGGCCAACGACTGTTACCAGTCCTTCGTCGCCAAAAAGCACATCCGACAGGACCATTACCCAAACACGGTCGCTGATGGGTTGCGTATCTCTCTGGGCGACGTGGCTTGGCCAATCGTGCGGGATCTGGTTGATGATGTCATCACAGTGACAGAAGAAGAAATCAAGGTAATGATCACTTCTTTTTTAAAAGGGAGAATCAGGTTGGATTGATTTTGGCCTCCCTGCTTTCTTCTTTGGGGTTTTACCAGAATACTCCACAGATTGCAAGCCATTGATAATTTCTTCATCGTGATTTCTTCATGCTTCCGTGCTGCAGTGCCTTTACACTTTCGATCAACCCTAGTTTCATTTATCAAAAAGTAGGCTTATTCAATCATTCAAATGGCCAAAATTCATTCGTTGGGAACTTTGAAGTTTTCCAAAAATTTGAATTAGAAACAAATGAATTGTTACTTATTCCTGTCCGGTTTGTGGTACCAGCGACAAATGCTGAAGCGTGTAGTATAAATGTAGTTCTAGAACTCATGTTGACACATAAATGTGTGTTAATTGTTTGTCAGAATTATCAATTTCTTAAACATAAAAACTGTATTAGTTTTTTAATACACAGAAATCCATCAGGTAAAAGGGCGCCCTCTTTTGCACAGAGTCCATACCCAGTCGTAGAAGTGAAACTCAGTTGGCTGGATGGTTACTGCACCTTTTTAAAATTCTGTATAATCAAGGGCAATTTTGTTTTCATCACCCACAGGAGAGTACTAAGCTGGTGTGGCAGTGCATGAAGCTGTGCATTGAACCCTCAGCAGGAGTGGGCGTGGCCGCTGTGATGTCAGACAAATTCAAAGCCCTGTCACCAGACATCAAGAATGTGGGGGTCATTCTGTGCGGCGGTAACATCGACATCGACTCCATGAAAAACTGGCTCTAGAGATGATCAGAAAAGTTGAATAATCTTAAATATAAGTAGTCAAGGGCAGATACAAAGGGGGATGTTTGAGGTGGACAAACCCCCCAACACCCCACACCCACACCCCCACCCCCAACCCAACCCCCTCCCACCCATACAAGTGTGTATTTACCTGCAATCGGGGACCCCCTATTGTCCCACTTTTGTTTGTACTTCAACTTTTTAGGGAGACCTCCCATTATGTTTTGTACATGATCGCCAAATTGGGGACCCCCTGGAATTGGGGACCCTATGTCCTCTATTGTTCAACGTCCCCCAATGAATGCAGAAACAAACTCACCACCTTCACCTCAACTAAATTTTTCCATAATAGAAAACAGTTCAAATATTCTGAAGTACACTGAATAATATCACTTTTTCATCAGTCACTATTGTCAACCATGATTTCAGACCTTGGTTCTTTTTATCCATTGACTTCAATGCCTCATCCACCCATGCCCCCCTGCCCACTCAACCCCCACCCCCTTGAACAAATCTTCAAATGGTCTTTGGAAAATTCTGGATCTACCATGGTTATATTACTTGTATTATGATGACCATAGCAATTGGTGTTATTGTATCATGGTTGTGTACTTGAGATACATTTCCAAACACACCCTGACCGACCCTACGCATGTTTTTTTTCTGTGCATAAATTAAAAATTGCCTGCTGATTGGTTGATTAACACTTGCGTGATTGATTTCAGACTGATTATATTTTACTCTCTTGAAAGGTATATTGATAATGTTCATTTTTCTGAACTGGTTCTTAAAAAGAAACAACTCTGTATTCTTTTGTTTATTTAATTTGACAAACCAGCTAGAAATTTGTTTTGCAGAAATGATTCTCTATTTCAAAAGACTTTTCTTTTTTACCCTAGAATGAAATGATAGGTTGGTGGAGGCATTAAAGATCTTTTGAGTTTATCACATTCTTATGTAAGGTCACTCAACAAGTTAATTTTTATTTTTAAATCTATGCAGTAGGCCTATATTAATATTTTATTATATAGCTATGAATCAAACGGCTATGGTTGTGTGCGTTTGTTGTAGAATATAATTATCTATATCTTGTAATTTAATCAAATGTTGCAGTGATAAAATCGTTTAGATATCAATGAATTATTCTCCCAATGACTTGCCAAGAATTATGAACCATATTTATCAGCAGTTCCACCCTTTAGAATAGACAGCTTGCACAGGGCGCCCTCACTGTGCACAAGTCTTTGTTCCTGTGTAAAGGGCACGAATAACTTTGTAGATTATAGCTGCCCAAAATGAATACACTCTGTACAAGTTTTGTATTTAATACCTTGATTAATTTTAATTTACTCAAATGATAGTACAATAATTAATACTGAACACATTAAAAATAAAAAAAGACGGCTTGAAAAGTAAACTTTCAGTGTTTTATTTTCCTGAAAAACCTTGTTAAAGATATTATTATTAATAATTTCTGGTACTGAAACCAAGGATTACTCAAAAGCGCCCAGACACTGTAGCTCGCAAGCCTGAAGAAACATGTAGAGAGGACACAATGCGAAGAATAATGACGTACAGTCCGTCAGGCCTGGATTATCCAATAGGCGCAGTATATGCACTCTGCCTAGGGCCTACGAAAAATTCGGGGGCCTAACAAGTACCGCAGTGTGCCATAAAACACATAAATAGGCCTACCCACACAAACATCTTTAAGCACCGGCAATTGTGGACCATATTCACCGTGCCATCGTCATCATCATCATCTAGCGGTCGTAACCGAGATCTCGTTCACAACGCCACGCCAGGTGGCTTTATCCCTCAATTTCACATTGGGTGTCTCTGCCAATCACATCAATATGTAGTTGAAGGGTCTTCGTCCTCTATTAGGGCATGGAAGTCTCCAACATAATACATCGGATATGACCTGGTTTACAGCACAGTAGCAGTGGCCAGCAAAGCGAACACGTCGTTGAGCAACAATAGCAGAGATAGGTGAAATGTCCCCGTAAATCTGTTCTTTAGTCCTATGCTCACGCCATGAAATGTTCTGCACCCTCATATTGAAGCCTGGTGTATGTGCCATCAAGGCTTTCTTGAAGCTCTTTCTTCATGGTCAAGGTTTCGGCTCCATAGAGAAGAATGCTCTCCAAACAGGCTCTGAAGAAGGCCATCTTCAGAGCCTGTTTGGTGACCAATCAAAGTGCCCTGTGATTGGTCAGGTTACCAATCAAAGTGCCCTGTGATTGGTCTGTCTGATGCTTAACAGTCTAGCCAGAGCCATGCACAAGTCTCCTTTTCCTGAATTCAAATTCAGGAAAAAATTAGTAACACAATATGGCTATGTACCTAGGACTCTACTATCGCCCGATCATGTCCAAATGTATAAAATAAAAAAAGGCGATTCGTAGAGTCCTAGCTACTCGGACTACTCGAAGCTAAGGCTAAGTAACTAACGTTATATATTATTATTAGTTTTGTATGACTGAAACAGTGGATTTTGTTCTCAATGTAGGCCTACTTGGACTAGCAAGGCCAGTATAAATACCTCAAATAGCACACTCCCAAGAATATGAATACGAAATTATGAACAGGTACGAAAATCAGCTTATAAACTTATGAAGAATGCATACTCACCGTACGGGGAAGAAATTTCTTGCGAATACCTGCTCAGTTGTATGGCATTCAAAACTTATTTCAAAACACATCAACTACTATACTAACGGCAAAATCGATGTGTTCTTGAATTCACAGTGCATGTACTGGACGTTACACAATTATGCGTAATCATTGCGGACGTAGTTTGCCCAACAGTTTTGGCACGTGCCCCCCGTGCCGCCCCCCCCCCCGTAGTTACGTTTCTGTTGACAATCCTCCCCCAACTCACCCCCCCCCCCCCCCCCCCCCCCACCTTGAAAAAACCAGGACTTCAACAACCAAACCATTCACCCCCGCTCCCTAAAACCGCCTGCATTTGCTGGCGTGCCAAACACTGTCCGGTGTCAAATAGAGTCCCATGAGCATGCGCAATAGACGCCAGGACACCATTTTGTCAAGTAATACGTGCCCAATAGTGTCCGGTGCTCAATACAGGGCGAGTAAAAACAAAGAGTGTCCCTTTGGATAAGTTTTTGTCTCCCACAGAAACGGGAAAGGTTACCAGTGTTTATCTTCAGCCAACATTTGGTCTGGGCATTGACCACAGTCAGTAAAAGTTTCACTGCATGATATTATCCATGCATGCAAAGGATACAGGCCTTTTACCATTAGAGATATGGCAGACACAATAGGAGGGCGCTGTTTGATTTGGGTAAATGCTGTTTGTGTTTTCCGAGTCCAAGTTCAAGTCTGACACAGGTATCGAGCCGTCCAGAGACTGTTTAGTGCATACATGTATTTTCCCCTTTGTCAGCCAATATCAGCCAATTAAACAAGGGATTCAGTATCGCCGACATACGGCAGTCGAAGCAGGGCAAGGGTGTTGCCCATAATACCCTGTGTTGGGCCTTATAAAAAGGTATGCAATTATTGCAACAGCACTTTGTGCGTAACATAGTATCACAAAAAAATACAAAAAGGGTACATCTTTTGAATGGAACCATTTATTTTACATTGGCAAATTGAAAAAAACGTGTTATGTTTCCGTTTTAGAAGAATAGAACAATTAGACATTAATAAGGTGTTATGTAAAATGCGCCATATTTACACACACACACACACACACAAATCTGTGACAACATATTCTCCTTTCAATGACTATATATAAATATAACATTTGAATATTAATTGACCTCTTATGACGGGCATCAAACTGGAAAAAAAATAGTTAAAACGAATCATCATCTGTTACAAATCCATGTATAAATATGTCTCTTCATTTAAAAAAAAGTTAAAATACAAAACTCTCTACTCTATTAATCCTAAAACAGTCCTGAATCCTCAAATTTGAAAAGATTGTTCCAAATAAGGCTAAGTAGGCCCTAAAGGGAAGCAAAAGATTGTTACAAGTTCAAGGTGGTTAACCAAAGGTTTGCTTGACAATATATTATATATTGGAATTACACAATGTAGTTAGTTTCATTGAGCTTCGAGCTTGCTTAGTACAGAAAGATTGTGCTCTACCTGCTTTAAGCCATATCCTTCGTCATGTATACATGTAGTTGCAAAATAGTTAATGGGTACATTTCAATCTGTCTTTTATCTTCGATAATAATATCACTATTAAAGGTTTGTGACCTGCAAAGAAAAAGAATCTCGTGAACAAAAAAAAAACCCAGGTTTTCATTCAGTTTATTTATAATGGCCAAAATTCCCTCGTGTCACTTTATGACACCGTGACATACTTAACTGGCTATAGTGTTAACATATTTTTTTTTCCGGGGAGTTAAGTGGATATGTCCCCCCCCCCCCCAACACCCTCGACAAAGAAGCCTTCTGATTTTTCTGTGTGATTTGTGCAAAGACTCGACCATTACTATAATTTTGTACCCAAAACAAAGTTTCCAAACGTTCATTTGGGTGTTATTGAGAAACAACGAAGAAAAGTGCTTAGTTCGTACGGGAATGAATAGTGTATGCACAACACAGATAAGGGTTTTGAAAATAAAATCTTAATAAAGAAGGCTATTTTAAATTTACAAAAAAGGATAAAATACAGGCTCGGCCTTCAAAAAAATGGATGTTTGTTTTACTACAACTTTTCGAATACTCGGTCATTGAACTCGTTCAACTGGAAAATGTTATTTCCAGCCAATGCTCTGCCATGAACATTCGCATTTCGGTCTTGCCACAACATACTGAAAAATGTATGATTCTACAAAATTTGTTTTCATGTATTGTTTGAACCCGTACGCAACCCTTAGGCGCGGTAAGAAAGGCCTAAATTCCATATAAAGTGATAAAAATAACATTTAAAATAGGCATTTAACTAACCCGGCGACCACAAGTTGAAGACACAAGGTGGTACCCATTGATTCCCATTTATGTATAATGGAGATGAATGGTTGTACCCATAGATGTGTATGGTTGTACCACGCTTGCGCGCATAACTCACATCATGTAGAATGCCATGGTTCAGTGGTTACGGTGTTTGATTAATGTGCGAAGGTGCGTGGGTTCGAACCCGGCCAGGAACATGGTGTTTGTGCCCTTGGGCAAGACACTTAACTACCATCGTCTCTCTCCACCCAGGAGTATAAATGGGTACCTGTAAGGGTCGAGGACCGATTGAGCGCTGATATCGGCTGCCGCGTGGTCCCACGGCCTGATGAACGGGGAAATAATCGCTTTGAGATCGTTGATACGATGGAAAGCGCTATATAAGCACAATTATTAATTATTATGTTCGTAGATTTCATGAGCGTGGGCATTTTGGCAAACCTCATTGGTCGATGAACAGAGTGCGCGCGTATGACCTGCGCGTATGACCTGTGCGCACATGCGCGGTACTATGGTTCTTCTAAAGGTCGCTGGTTGGGACTAGTTTATAAGAAAACATCATGCAAGAGTTAATAGTGGGCGTATCCTGAGCCGGGAGCCCGAGTATCTGAGTTGGTATACCATCTATTCTTCTTTGTTTGCATAATGTAATTGACAGACGACATCAGAGGTACAGAGTTGACTATCTGACCACGTGACGACAGGCCATTCACAACACCCTAAAAAGAGAAATCATGTTTGAGAAACAATCAGTCGAATTGGAGTGGGTTTTGTGAAGAAAATATGTTTTTACGGTGTGACTGTATCTTACAAATCATGTTAGATTTTAGTTCCTTTTATTTCTCCTTGCCAACTGATGAGGCCCTGCCAAATGCTTTTTGTATTGTTCTAGATTTTTCCCGTAGAAAATTCTCATTATAACTTCTAGTTCTAAAGCTTCCATTCGTGAAATCTCAGGGTTCATTTTGCCTCGATCGTTGATAAAGTGGATCATTTTATATTTAAATGAACATTTCCCTTCGCCCCGAAAAGGTCCCATATTCAATTCCATTGAAAGGATAACTGCCATGACAACAATGTTTGCTGTTGAAACAAACGGTGTTCGTGAGTGACGTTCTCCGGTAATATTGTAATGAACCGTCGGAATAGTTATTCTCAGAGTATGTGGGATTTGTTTGCATTGATGAAGTACATGAGTATATACAGAGTAGAACCAAAGTAACTACTCACAGTTTCCAATGAAGCTTCGTGATTATATGTCACTGATTTAGTAGCGCTGTCCACACCAAGATCTGTTGAAAACCTGGCCCTCTCCATAGCATCGATGACGTTATGTTCGAACCACACGGTCTGGGCCGCCATCTAGATGGAGTAAAATGTATTCAAACAGTGATGTGAGACGAAGTGGAAACGAGTTTGGTACACTTTGTCGCGACACCCTTCCAATCTCAATGTATAGATCAGTGCTTCTACAACATATAGGCGGCAGTGGGCTCTTAATACGAGAGCTACCTTATAGGGTACCCCACAAGTCGGCCATTGTAAAACGGTACCCCAGAAGAGAAATTCTAAAGAAGAGGGATAAAGGGAGAACAATGCAAGTACCCCAGAAATCCAGTCCGTAAGGTTGTGTGTTCTGGCCCAACCCGAGTGTGTTTCCAACACAAACCGCGCGCTCCTAAGGAGTTGAACACTGACCTATACAGTATTTTGCTCATATTTGTACAAAACATGTACGGAGAAAATAACTGTACGATCGAGGAGACATAACAATTATCCGAGAAAAGAACTGTACGATAGAGGGGACATTACATTTATCAAAGGCAAGATGATAATAGTGTATGTACATTATTTTCTTAAAAAGAAAGAAATCACCTAAAAGATCGAATCGGACCTCAAGCTTTTTCAAGAGAAGCAATACACACTAAAATCTTAAAAGCACTCCAAACTAAGGCTCTTGTTTCAATCTTAATATAATCACGGACGTTGCAGTTGGTAAATCATATTTTGGACATTTTTGCTTTGTGGGTTCAAACTCTACGGCCCTCCAACATATTCAGATTAAGCTAGACTCTTCTTGTCTGCCAAAACTTGCGTTTGTGGGAAACATTTGAGACTTGTTGAACTCCTACGCCCTTAAAGTTTATCGGATTTAGACTGTTTTTTTTCTGCATTACCATGGCAGTTGCGGTTATCATCTCCAACCCGCCGGATGACCCGATCACTGCCTTGACCTCGTAGTCCTTATCGACAAGAACTAATGGGCTCATGGACGACAGAGGGCGCTTGCCCGGCTGGATGGAGTTCACAGGTGAAGGTGACAGTCCCTCGACCAAACTTTCGTCTGGCAGCGTGAAATCGCCCATGCCGGCGTTGAAGATGATGCCGGTGCGTGTGCCGCGTTTCTTGGCACCAAAGCTGACAACACGACAGACGGAAATTCATGATTGCTTTATTGATGACATTTCACCAAAGCGACTATATACATAAATATAAAATCTTGCATAAAGCCCTAATATGGGACTATAACTGTGCATTGAATACACTTAAGCCAAGCCATGTCATGTTTAAAACACGGAAAGGATAGTAACGTTTCGATCAATCCAGTCATAGGCGGTGGAAGCACGTGCATTTCCTACCAACTATAGTTGCATTTCTTTCTTTTCCCCACATACTTTTGGATAGAGACTGGATTGTGTTTAGAGACACTTGCCAAATTACCACGCTCTTCACAATGTACTTTCACTGTAATTCTTTTTTAAGAGAAAAGATATAGTACGTACTCAAGGCTTAAGGAGCTGGTGTAGGATACAGCATTTCCCGCCCCGTCCTTGACAGAGATGTGCGTAGCGCCTCCAGCGGGGTCCATTTTGGGGGCGTACATGCTCCCGTATTCTAGGAACTGTAATGCATCTGTTTGTATCTTTCCCCTGGTGGTAGTAGCAGTCGAAGTCCTCCCCAAGATGCCCATGACCTGTAATGGTACCAAGAGTGTCAAGGGAAACGTTTTTGGTGAAGCAAGGGTTGAAATCAAATTTGAAGGATAAGCAGCTCCGCGTGAGATTCTTGCGAGCAGATAGAGTGAGAAATTACCTTGAATATTAAGATACATGTGCATTTTTGGGTATATTTTTTAGAGGCCTAAATTTATTTTGCCAAAACAAATGTATAGGTTACATAGTGGTTCTGGGATGGGAGGAAAAATGGTATCAATCAATCAACTACATGTTCAAACATGTTCAAACACTGTGAAGGCTCAACATCACTTATGTACGACAGCCACATAAACAAAACAGTTTACAAATTGTATTTAAATTTGAAAATAAAACACTCTTTATCTTACCTCTTTAACGCTGTCCTCAAATTCTGGGTCACCCAGCCGACTGTGTTCAGCTAAAGCAAACTTGAAGGATTCTAACATTCGATGGTAAGTCTCCACTTCTGTTGACGTGTCTCCTGTACTGCGCCAAGACAAGCTGTAGCCTGTTGGGGAACACAAGACACAATGACGCAAACACGTATAGGCCACGATTAGTGTAAACATATTAATTACAGCATGTTATAAACGTGTCATAAACATGTCGACAGCTTGATGTAATTACAAAATAACGTGCACGCAAAATAATGCACGCAAAACGTCGTCTGAATGTGTACGAAACGTTTTTGCTAAACAGAAATGTTGTATAAAACATATTTTGTTGCCATTCAATTATTTTTATTTTTGAAAACAAAAAATAATATTTCGTCGACTAAAAAGTGTAAATATCAATTAAATTAGATGTCTTTCTTTACCCATCTCTTGTTCTTGGAGTGGTAATACGGCGGAGGGTGACATCACTTCTAGCATCCAATAGGCTATATCCATATTTATATTTGGGCATTTTGTGCATTGATGATCTTACCTTCTAGAATATTAAGGATGTAGTTCGTCAAAATGCCACTGGACGGTGGAGGCGGGGCATATACCATAATACCCCCAACATCATACAACTGGCCGCCACCAAGCTCTATGGATACCGTGTCCGCACTACGGGCCTCGTATTCCTCCAAGTCTGCCAAACTGATGTTGCCTCCTAGTTGTTTTTTTAAGTAAAGGTTCGAAAACAGAAAATGAAACTGAACAAATTAAGTACAAGATACTGATGTTCTGCGACATTTCTTAAATTCGTAGACTTCTACCCAATCAAACTAAGGCACCATTACTGCCTGTCAATCTCCCAGTGCGCATTGACCAATTTAACGTTTGGTCAGCTGACAACAGAACCTTGGTCAGACTTCCTCGCAACTACTGTGAGAAATGAACACACACCAAATTTTCGTAAGATTTACTATAAAGTAAATTCGTTTTGAGAACTTCGTTCGTCTAGAATTACCCTTCAGTCGAGGTCTACGCTACACAACCTGTCCAATTTTATTATATTTTATTGTAGTCTTGGTAGTCAATTTCAGGTTTAAAAAAATGCTTTCCAAAGGAGCCCTCAATGCAGTTTTCGTTCAGACTCTTCAGTTTTTCCTCGAGTTATTGTTCGTATGCGGAAAATGGACCGTTCCTGATTTAGCCATAAAATAAGCCCCGCCCACATTTGACTTGTGTTCATTGCTCACTGCGCTCATCCTAAACCGAGTTTAACCGAGCTATAGTAGTCACCTGACCCAAACTCATGATCTAATTGGTCAATGCGCATTGTTTGATTGGCAGGCAGGTAGAGTCCATGAGGGGAGTCAGGTTGGCGTAGTGGTATTTTCCTCGCCTTCCACCACTGTGGGTTCGAATCCCAATTGGGCCAATATGTGGATTGGATTTTCAAGTCCCTACATGATTTCGTGGGTTTTCCCCAGAATATTCCTCTGGGGTTTTCTCCCACCTCTAAAACTGTAACTTCTCCTCATTGTCTTCTCTCTTCAGGTTTCTTTAGGCTTGCGAGCTATAAAGTGCCTGGGCACTTTTAAAGAATCATTGGTTTCATTACCAGAAATGACAAATAATAATTACCCATTTCATTTACGTCATCCACGATCATGTTTGCAAGGTCTCCCTTGTAGAACCCATCGGCTCCCTGTGATGCAATGGTCTCCAGGGTTGCCGCTAATTTGGGCAAAGTGACCTCGTCCCCTTGCTGCTTAATTCCACCAGCGCTAGTCAGAAATATTTCACTGCAAGAGCAGAGTGTAAACTTTTCTTATCAAAAGAAGTCCCAGCTGCGCTCGCTTGTGGTAATATGTCACTCATGTGAAATTTCCAGAATGCAGTTACTGACAAATTGCTTAGTACAGCAGTACAAAACCCGCTCCATATCTCATTTTATTGCATTATTTTAACCAGGTGATAATTCTGAGTTCGATTTGCAACACTAATGTTTAGTTTCCCACGTTTGTTCTCGTCATTACACAATAAGCACTCAGACTTTAATACTACCAATATATCTATTATATCACATTTTCAGAGTGAGCTTCAAACCAGCAAGCTCCGTCTAGTCGTTGAGACACTCTCAACCATCGGCAACAGTAACGTTTCTAACTCAACGATGCAAGAGATTGCCCCCAATCATTCGAAGAAGCTACAAATGCATACACTATAGGTTACACTCGCAAATGGTTTTTAACTCAAAACTTTCTTAGCAGAAGAGGCATACAACAAAATACCCATTACATACCTCAAACCTGTATCATTACGAATGACGTCTTCGTTGTCTTTGATGGCTTTAGCCAGTGCCTCACCAATCTCAAAGCCGCCCTTGGCTAGACGGATGGACGGCTCCACAAGGCTCGCCCAGGACAGAGTTCCACCATGGTTTTTATGCGCCCTAAAGAGACCAGCTACCTGTCCGGGGATGGCTATAGCCATGCCACCTGTACAGATGAGACAAATTGATTGAATACATCGGAGCTATGAGAACAGAAAAGGCCTATAGTTCCACCTTCCTTGGCACCACGAGTTAGATGTTACAAGTTATTGCTGATCCATAAGGGTTCATTTTGTGTAAAACAAAGCCGGAATCAACTCTACTTTCTCGGGCTTCTAACCCCTGAAATGCCAACTCCAACCTCTTTGGTTTTAATAGGAGTTTTTATGCAGCTGATATTTACTCCCTTGTCATCTCTTTGTCATCACCCCGATCAGAAATACACTGGCGATCCAAATACCTTGTAATGTAAACAGATTGTGGCCTCAACCGTACCATCATCTTAAAATCGGCTTTCAATTGACGGACACCACGGTGTGTTAGGTGTTGTAATTTTAACATTGGATATTTTTCATGTGAAGAAAATTGTACTGACTCTGGCTGCTGTGAACCTCACCTTTAACAGCAGATCCCTCTTGGCCGCTGAACATGTCCATGCTGGCACTAGAGGGCGCCACCACCTGCCCATCAACAGCTACTGTTTTGATTGCGCCAGCGACGGTGCCGGTTTTATTGTAAAAGGTCAGGTAGCCGCCTCCTCCCACACCTCCAACGTGCAGGTTCAGCACGCCCACACAAAAGGAAGTGCCTATCGCCGCGTCCAAGGCGTTGCCGCCGTTCAACATCAAGTCCCTGAAATAAACAGGACGAGCCAAAGGCACATAGGAGCAATGTGGTTTGAGACTTTGCAGTGTGGCTAATCACGTATAGGGGATGGCATCAATGTGAACGAGAATATAGGCAAGCCTAAAAGATGGTCCCAACCTTATAGTAAAGGGGTCCAAAGGTAGTCATTTTGTGAGGTTCAGGCTTATGCTGAGGCTTGTTCAAGAGTAATTCACGAGTGATAATCATCAGTCGTCAGATAGAAAGAGGAATGAAAGTTTGCCTTGTGGGACTGGCAAAAAAGGACCAATTGTGCCTCAACTAGACCGCAGTGGGTAAAACATGTATTTGCTTTTGAAAAAACTAACTAAGGCACAGTTACAAGTGAGGACGGTTTGCACTTAATGGACACAATTCAAACTGCAACATTTCAGTACAGTGAAGAAAGCTTTCAGGCAATTGGCTCCTTTTTTGGCGATGTATCACAAATATTCTCCTGTTAATTGTGTGCTTCTTCGTTTTAGCCTTTTGGCTTCTGAATATGCTCTTTTTAAAGATGACATTTTGACGACATTAATATTTTTGACGTTAGGATTCAATGATATAAGAGCAGGCGATTTCACCGACTATTAGAATCAGTTTAACTCCGGGTTTCGGGTAATAAAATGAATCTTCGACACTGCGCGTACGTACGACATGTCTAAGCTACAAACCAAACATGAAAACTAGGTTTCTTGATTAAAAACAAAATAATGTTATCGTTGAAATGCAAAGGTTTTACCTTCCAACCCTCGAACAGAGTTCTCGATCAGACGCTACCGCGCCGTTGAAAAATTGGTAAGGTTTCAGCTTGGGGTCGGGGTGACCCAGCCCAAGACCTAACCCAAGGGCTAGAAAGAAACCAACGCCAAGTAGAACCACCATAAAGATGAACCAATAAGACGGGACTTTGTGTTCGTCTTCTGTCCTGTTCTTGGCGGATTTCTTCTTCCCTGCAGCCTCCCTGTTGAGAGGGTCACAAAATGGTCAAAGTCACAGGCATACTTAATTATAGTGGGGAACTCTACGGCTATAGGCACACAGCTATATAGCAAGGACACAGACAACGGGATACTTGGACAAAAGTTTTGTCAGTGGGCACGTACTGACGGCGACTTTCAATTAAGTTATCGTTATCCCACTTGCGCCAACTGGGAGAAAAAAAAAACATCACGCGAACATATAGTCCAAAAGGCAGCAAAACAGTATTGCGTGGGTTTGTTCATCCAAACTTGTCACACAAAATCTTTGCTCGCTGTTCATGGGGTTATTATGGGTAGTTTACAATGTAATCATATTGCTTTACACATTATGGTCAAGACTATTCGCAGGATGCTTTGCTAATTAGCAACAAACAGACACACAGGTCAAATAGGCTCTAGAGAAGATTTAATTGAAGAGTGGAACGGCAGGTCTGTAGCTTTGTCATTGTGTTTTTTTAGTGTCCAAGTTCATGATGCCAATGACTACGATATATCCCTATATAGTATAATTTCTGTATAAATTTGGGGTGTGGAAACCTTGACTTGGTAGCCACATGTAAGTTTAAGTTCGAAAATCAAAACTGTTCCATGCTGCATACTTAATTGCACAAACCAAATAAACAATTCAACATAAATATCATAGTACATTCTTCCAAATGATCTACAAAACCCGCCGCCCAAAATGAACTTCTTTCGGAATTCACCAGAAAACACTTTTCAACGAAAATGAACTTACACGTCATATTTTGTCTTTCCTCCTTGTTGGTGTGCCGAGATGCTTAAGCTGTGGACAATTTGAAGATTTAAAAGTGACATTTATAGGTCAAAACATCTGTGATAATACCATTTGTAAAATAACAATATAATCATGTTCTATTCATAAGATGGTATTTGGGTGACGTAAACTCAATACACGTATTAGGTGTTCCCTTCATCATCATATGCAGTGTTCATAATACGTCGCTGAAGGGCAACACCCAATATTGATATCCCTCATTTTAAAATGTCACCATCAATTTAAATAAACAAACCTAAAATGTGCATTAATTTACATAAATGTACATATCTCTATATTCACATGGAAGACTTACTCCACATCGTCATAACCTTGTGGTTCCCCTGTCTTCGTTGTTGGCTCGGAGTCGTGTTTTGGAGTTTCGTCTCCATTCTGGTATCTGTAGGCATAAGAAATCCATCCATTAAGAAGTGGTATTTATATACTTTTGCTGACAACAAATTGTTTTCAATGTGAACGTTTTTACGTTGTAATTGCAAGTCTTCATTGGATGCTTATTCTGCAGCATCACATCATGGTGTTAAAATTGGATACTCTAAAATGTGACGGGATGAAATTTAACCCCGTTTAAAGCGTCATTTTCGAACATTTTGTGACGCGATAATTAATTGAACAGGCCAAATATATTTCATCTTTATGAGAGCAACACTCAACTTTAACGAGGCAAAACGAATTGTGTGAGTGCAAATCTCGTGGTAAGGAGGTGTTTTTACTATCAAAAAAAAAAATTGACAAACTTTTCAAACGTTCCTTGTTTTTGCATATTAAGTTTCATTCAATTTAATTTGGAAAATCAAACTTAAAATCACTATATAGAAAATGGGGCAATGTTACTGCACATGCACGACAACGATAAATAATTCCAATGGAAATCTACAACATCCAAAACGGTCCCTCGTTGCTGCACTATCGCCGCAAATGGCGTGGTAGGAATAAAGTTCATTCACCGGGTTCAAACTTGCAGGGTGCTTTTCCTATTTTGAGGGCATTGAAGCCAAAATCGAGACAGCACAATTCCAGAAGCAATGGGAGGCATGGACTGCACAATGTGGAAGTCATTTGGACGGTGGCGACACCAACATTTGGAACACCACTGTGGCTTGTAAGAAACCGGGAAAGTAGGCTTTTTTTTTACCGATTATAATGTATTTTGTATTTTCGTTAAACAGCGAGGATTTGAAAATCTTACAATTTTTTTTTATCGGAAGTCCATAATTAATTTTATTGATATGACGTTTGATCAGTTTTGCTGTGAATAAATCTCAAATAATAATGCATGTGATGTAATGATGATTTAAGGCCTATGTGATTGACAGTGTTTAGACGGCGATGATAGTAAATGACAACGACGACTATATTATGAAGTGATGATGTAATACAGGCCTAGGCCTATACTTGGTTTCATATAATGTCTTAATTGCATGATTTTAGTACATAATTTCGACGTGAAACGTTAAACTATATAAGCCAACGCAATTCCGAATGAAAAAAAAGATGGAATCTTGCGTTCCAGACAGTATCATACAGCGGGAGTCCCACTATTCCAATTAAAAAATGTACCCACAGCTAGCTATGTAGAGCATTTGATACGGCAGCCATGACCACGGCTTGGCCTACGACCTCATGGACATCACACACGCTGTTCTCTCATATCCCATGCTGATTTCCCCTAATTTTAATAATCACAAACATGCATGCCTTCCCAAATTCCCGATTGTATTAAAGCTGTTCACATTCACATCATCAACTGAGTAGTTAAGACACGAGTATCATACAATTACAAATCAAATCGATGAGTGAAATTTAATTTTCAATTGCGAATGCGTATTCAAGAATTCACTCCATCATTTTCACGCCACGTTTTGAAGATTCTGTGATCGTCTTTCACTTTCAGACGACAATTTGATACTTGACCAGAATTTTCTCAACTTTACTTTCTCCTACCTGTTTGCTAGGAAACCATTTCCATTACACAGCACGTAACCCCGATTTGTTCCTGTAGTCGTGTACATTTTATCTGAATTTCAAAGCTGGATCTGTGTCCAAAATGGCTGTGCGTGAAGAATATTATGATCGACACCGGCCTACACTGTTTACATGTACATGCCATTTAAATACACGCACACGTACATGCGGCTAAATACCACAACGCCTACGCAGTAGTATTTCCAGCTACTACACGTAGTGGTCATAGGAAAATCTCATTAATATTTATGCACACCAAGGCCACACACACTGATCTCTGTTTAATGGACAGTGGCCGCACACCTCTGACGTCACAATTCGTTGAATAGGGAGAACTATTTAATATACAGAGCGTTTGTTAAACCTCGGCTTCGTTGGCGGTTCGTCTTCATGTTTGTTTCGGCTTCTTTTTGAGGACTTTGATTAGGCCTATCCTCTGAAACAAATGGAATAACGCTAGGACTTCGATCTCCTTTTAATAGTATTGGAAGTTCCTGAAGCAGTACTAGACCCATGTGGAGTCTTGTGAGTCACAGCCTAAAATACCTCCGATGCCGATTCTTGCGGGACCGTACCAGCCGAGGTTTAGAAATCCTCGAAAATGAGCACCTGAGTGAACACCGGTTTGTCTTGAAACTGACACTCGAAAATTAGTTAATCAGTATAAGCTTATTTTTTCTATCTAAAACCTTGACTGCTTTGGAGTCCCACTTGAAATGTTCTATTTTGAGTTGCATAAAATGCCTAGGCCTACACATTTTCATGCGGTATTCAGTTTAAACATTTTTTATTAATTATTACCTTCGATTTATAGTTATTTACATCTATATGAATATTGTGCATTTATGTATTTCATGTATTTACTAAATACCATACGGACACTGGTACCCCTTGCGCAGTAATTCTACACTAAGGTACCAACTTTGAAACGAAATCGGATAGTCATTCTAGGACGGGCCATAAACCAGCTAATTTAAAACTGAAACAGGTATATCGGGGGGGGGGTGGAACGGAACAGAACAACGGAGTCAACATGTCAAACCAGTGTCGTTGTTGAATTAAATTCGCATATTAACTGCATGGTTTGGATTATGGAACTAAAGTTATCAGCAGATCGGGACTATTATTCTGCCATTACTCTGAGAATCAGATACAACATTGCTAATCTATTCTAAAGATAGCCTAAATATAGAAGGTATACTATTATGTAGTATTCATCGTCAAACCAGCAAGCTATTACATGTGCACCATTTTACAGCTGCTTTCTATATGTGCAATTTTAAGTTTTAAGATTCATAACATTATATATGGTTTTGAATTGCTATTTTTTTCTCTACCAACTAAAGTAGCCATTCATTGAACGCAAAACAAAGTTTGCTTGTGGAAATGTTACTTTACAATTATCTGCTGCATGACCGACAAATTTATACAACAGGAAGAGATTGGAACCGAGCGCATTGGAAAGTTTATCCATCGGTCCGGGTTTTCTATATCTGCAATGTAATTGATTTCAGTACGCGCATTTTCGGTATGTTAGAGAACTATATTTATATTTCGTGCGCAACTAAGGCAGAAAAGCGTAAAAGCACAATTTTTTAAGAGGGTTTCAGACGCTCATGACAGAAAACGGTTTCGTTAAAAAATAAAAAATATATATGAATTAAGAATTCGTTAGGAGAAAAAAATATTGAAGAGCTGGGGTATAGAGCAATAGCAAGTAAAGGACTTTACAAAAGAAAGAAGAGTGATTCAGAAATGTGTACTTTTTGCCATTATACAATAGATTACATTAAGCACTTTTTCTGGTTATGTAAAACCGCTAATCCCCTTATGAACGAAATGGAAAAGATTGCTTCTTCGAAATATGGTAAATCAATCACTCTATCGGTGAAGTAATTCTTTTCGGGGCGGGTGAAAAACAACCCGGTTTTTAAATACTCTAATTATAGGTAAACAGACAGTGAGCCGTTTATGGCCAGTACTCCAACCTTATCATCTTTTTTTGAACAGATTCGTTATATGAATTAAACAGATTTGTCTTGTATGTTTGTTTGTTTCAATGTTGTTTTTTTGTAAAAATTAGTAGTGCGTGTAGAGCAAGTGATACTTATTGTACATAATTATTGTTATTTATTAGTTGATTGAATCTTTCAATAAAATAGAAAAACAGCAAGTACAAAGTCTCTAAATTCCAAAATGTGAAACTAGGTGGATCAGACAATTAAAACCGATTTAGTTTCAGTCGAAACGCGAGAGAGATCTAATCAATTGAATGAATTTCACTCTAAAACGTCTGTTTCCTAGTGAATTCTCAATCGAAAAGTAAAAGAGAATTCTCACACTTTGGAATTCACAGAGAGATAAATGGTTTGAAAAATTTTAGCATGACAGTTATTCACGTATCAATGTTTACTTAAATTTTGAAAATGTGTGGTTTAAAGGGGCTACATGTGATCAACAGCCTTATGTTTCGCATTTATAACTTGTTTCCTAATCTTAAAGTCTCCCAGAAATTCGTTTTAGTTTATGAAATATGTAATAAAGCTCACTAAGTTTAAGAATTGATTGTGGTCTTTTGAAAGTAATTTCTATTCCAATGCAGAACGTCCACACGTTCATGACAAATCAACCATGTCATCACGCGATTTCAGGTTTTGTGCATAAAAATGATGGAATGATTTGTTGCCGAGGTCACTTCTCTATTTTTTGTAATCCAACTGTTCATTCTGACAATGGCCAATATGCAAGTTGCTGCAAACAGCTAAAATTCGGTGTTAAAGTTGCGCTTTAGGTACAGAATCATTAACGGTTAAAGCGACAGCCTATTAAATCACAGCAACTCCTCCTGTCTCAAAAGTAGCATAACCTACTATAAAATACAGCATTATGTCTTGCCCTTCACCGACGTACATGCATACTCAGTGTGTTACCCCCGAGTGAAAGTGAGAAAAAAATTATCACTCGGGTGGGACTCGAACCCACGACCTCCTGCTTTCTAGTGCAGATGTCTTACCACTCTACCACCAAGCTTGCGGGATCGGTTGGCTGGTTCGATTCTGATGTACCGCAATGAAACTATTCGTAAGATGGAAGTTTGCGACGGGGTGATGCAAATTCAATATTCGATTTTGTCCTTCACCGACGGAAAAAACACTGCAAAATATTAATTTTAAAGGTCTTTTTTTTTTCTCTTCATTTTTACTAACTAGCATCAAAATGTTTTTTTTTTATATAGGGTTTGTCCTGAACAAGTTTGGCAATATCCGAGGATTTTATGAAAAGTCATCGTAATGATTATGTTTTAAGCATTTTGAATTAAAATTGAGTTCAAAGATTTCATTTCAACATTTCATTTTCAGAAACCTTTTTTCATCAAAAAGACATCCTACAGTTTCTCAAAAAGTTTTAAATCCTCAGTCGGATTTTTACCGACTTTGCCGGCCGGGTCATATTTTTATGGTGATGAAGAGGAGGCATAAATGACTATACTTGTAGGTATTCTTCTAAATCCATTTTTTTTCAAGTGCTCTGTGTATGGCGTGTGTGATTGATGTGTTTGAAAAAAATACTCTATTGGACACCTGCTGGAGAGTCTAGAGGTGGCTCTCGCGTCATATAGGCAAACTTGAACTTTGGCGGTAAAATTTGAGCCGTATAGGCCTATCACCAATATCAATGTCATATATCCATTATAGCTCTGCTCAAGCACAATGGTTTGACAGAACTATTTTCATGATTTGTGACGTGGTATGTCAACAAAAAAAACAGGCAGAATTGGGCAGAGCTATACATGTACATGCATATATAAAAATAAAAAATGGAGAAACAGCTTCAAAATGACATTTGCGTGGATTTCAGCGATTTTGAGATTTTTGAAAATTTAAATGCTACTTATGAGTAACATGTTCTGTAAACGATTCCAACTGGAAATGTCATTGTTTTATTAAACATTTTTAAAGAGGCATGTCATTTCAAATGACGCTTCGTTCAAGATTTCGTTTTGAAATTACGCAAAATTAGTGTAACTGGAAAAGGTTTCAAACCAATAAAAGGCCAGCTTCTTTGCTTCTGTATGTCCGTTGATAAGGAAACATTGTTATTTTATAATGAAACCTTGTCCGAATAACGTTTATTTCACTAAACAAACTTCAAAGGCATATTTCTCATTTTTGACATTTCGGACAGTCCGATTTCAAAATATAATGGCTTTGCTTCACAATATCCAATTGCAAGAAAACAAAAGCGGCATTTGAAAGAGCCATGCAGGTGTATAGTTAACTTATATTGCAATAACTCAAGATTGACTTTCTTGCCTAAATGTGCCTGATTTTGACCTACCACGTCATATTTGGGCAAAAGTCCAAGTTTTAATACAGGGGTTTATAATGGCGCGAACAGCGGGATATAATGTTAGACCTAACAATCCAAAGAACGTTTACATTTTCAACAAAATCAAATGGCTAAAACAAGCTTGACAACACCACATTTTTTCCTTAGCTGATGATCATCGGACTTCACTGAATCGAAACTTCACTAAGACCAAACTCACGGTAATACTCAGTAAGGGGAAGTTATAAATTCGGGATTCCCTCAAACATATTAATTCAGCACCGCAGTCAATAAATGCAAAACCAAACTCGAAAACATGTGGCCGACCTTAATTGTTCAACCATTGAAATTCAGCAACTCCATTTGTTAGTTCACATGCACAAGCTTTTGATCGCTTCATCACCAATCACTGGGTAAATCGGTCCAGGTAAATGGAAAGAATGATATTCACGCCACTTTGTTTGATAGTGCATGGTGGAATCTGGAAGTTACGAGTTTAATTTTACGTCTTCCAATCCAGAGATAATGTTCATAATCAATATTTTCAAAGAATGACACCAACAGCAACAACGAGGCCATAATAATGGTGGAAAAGGTGGCGTCGCAATCCTACACTCTGGTGAATCAACAACTTAGTAGGCCTAGGTCTATCCGCGAAAATTAATAATTTCAACTGCCAAAGCGGTTAGATTTTAAACTCCGCTTCTTTCAAGCAAAAGTCGTTTGATCATTGCACGACGATTGAAACGTACGCTATGATATAAATATGGACCTGTAGTGCCCTGGATTAAATCCGACGGGATTCATTACATTTCTTCAACTGATTTAACATCACATGGTCAAACCATGCATGGCTCCATGGTCAAACGAGCACTAACTTTTTTGTCCTCCGTTTACAGCTCATGCACACTCCCGCAGCTCTGAACATGCTCCATGCTCTGAACAAAGGTTAACATTAGGCCTATTTTGAATTCTGAGAAGATTGTGTGGAAGACTTACCCGTCGTTTTCCATTCCGGCTGCTTGGTTTGTTCCTGCCGACGTACTAGCCTCGGTTCCGTCAGTTGTTGATGTACGTCGGGCAATCGCAAAAATGTACATAGGTTTTAACCCCAGTTATGCAAATGATACACCTGATAAGGCCTGCGATTATAACAGAGAAGACATTGAGATATCGGGGAGTGCCGCGGTAACGTCCTGGACTTTAAACCGAATTTTTTTAAAGCCCATAATATGACCTGGTAAGGTAAACAGGTTTTAACAATAGGAGAGCCTGGCAAAGGCCAACAATGCTGCTTTTGTGAGTTCGGAGTGGCTATGCAAATTCTCCATTGAAGCTGAAGGGGCCTTTGGAAAACACCTTGCATACGAGTAGTAGGTACGTGCACTCATGCACATTTTTTTTGTACATGGAGCAAGAACCCACGGGCTACGAAAACACGCTCGGTACGTGCAGGGTCTGCTTGCCGCAGTCTGCCAGGCTTCACTATTGGGTGGCCGCGGTGGCCTGGTATTGCGTGCACATACAACCGTCACTTAGTCCCAGACCCAAGTTATTACAAAAATATATTTAATTCACAAACACCTCAAAATGAAAAACACAATAATAACTCTATATAATACAAAGATGTCTTTGCACTAATATTTGTGGCACACGTGCCAAGTGGTATGATTTTTTTTCTCTCCACCACAATACTTTTTAAAGCAGAATTATAAGTTGATTACCAGCTGGAAGATGTTTTATGTGACTTCCAAATTGTATTGTTGCCGACTGAACATTTCTTTCAAAAATATGAGGTGGTCGGGTGCCAGTGAAAATAAAATGACTTGGGACTTGGGAGTTGGTTTGTGACCTATCAGTACAATGCAGTGATAGTTATGGCCTCAGGATCGGTGAGGAATATTGCCTTCAGTGCAAATATCTGGTGATAATTGAAGGAAATGTCCATGCATGATGCCAGTAATTCACCACATCTTATGATTTTGTTTTTCAAGAAACGTCTAAATCTTTCCTCTCCTCCCGTATGACCTATGCTAACCCTCTCCCCCTCTCCACAATGTAAACTGTGTATAATATTATAATGCTTGCATTAAGAAATTTGAGGGGGGAAAAGAGCAATTTCATCAGTCCAAAAGTGTAAGTCTATGAAATTCACAAACTCTGTCAAATTGGTCGAAAATTTTCCAGTAAAAAAATAATGGTTTCCCATGCCGGGAATCGAACCCGGGCCGCGTGGGTGAAAACCACGAATCCTAACCACTAGACCACATGGGATCTCTGGCTCAAGCTGGAAAATGTAGCGCTATCAATAATGAGTCATCTCCCATGTTGCGCAATAGACTGGTTGCAGACCTTACACCTGTCCTGCAGACATGTTAGACTGGTATTCTGTCCTACTGTTGATATTCTGACTTAATTTTTTTTTTAGGAGGCGGGAGCTATGTATGTGGAAGGCCTATCATCTCAATGCCCTCGTTTGGAAAATAACCTGAACATAATTATTCATTACTTGATTGTTACAGAAACAATATATATGTACGTCATGCATGACTCATGCTCGTAACGTACAACAAGGAATGAACTGTTTCGATACAACCACACGAGGGCGCTATTACTCTTACCGCGTTTTCGAAAAAAGACACAACGCCGCACTGACAAGGCTTGATCGCTTAATTCTCTGGCGATGAACCAGTACGTGTTTCACAAGTCACAAGAGTCTATCACAAGTCATGTCCACCACAAGTTCTCCAGTCCCAAGCGAAGTAACAAGATTTTCAAATGAAATCTGACAACTGCATGCCTTCCTTTGTTAGTATTCATCACCTGTTTACAGTGGCGTAGCACGGTCTTTTTTTATTGGGGGGGGGGGGGTTAAACAAATTTGAAAAGGGCTCTTGCATATCCGTGGTGAAATGAAGACACTTTTTTTTCTCCGGACACTTGGCCTCCGTAAAATCAAAAAGCGGGGGGGGGGGGAGAAAAAAGGGGAACTTTTTCGAACAAAAAGGGCACTTGTTCAGGAAAAAAAAGGCACTCTTGACAAATATTGGGGGGGGGGAGAGCTGGTGACAAAGGGCATTTGAATGGAAAAGGGCAGTCTTTTCAAAATATTGGGGGGTAAATACCCCCATAACCCCCCCCCCCCCTCTTCAGTTTACCAGTGCCCCTTCCTACCTGTCAATTAAACAATTGACCAATTGTTAGAGTGATTAGTGTGGACAGCAAGGGCGGATCCAGGGGGGGGGGCCAAAGGGGGCCATGCCCCCCCCTCCCAAAAAAAAACCGAGACCAAATGTTTTTTTATGTGACATCGCAATAAAGGCAGGCAATGAGTACACCACCATCTTTTCCTCAAAAAAACCATTGGTTAAAGTGGTCAGAAATTGCCTCAGATCGCACCACAGAGCATCTAGAATCCAAATTTTTTTCGGGGCCCTTAAGCGGGCCCCGAACCCCACGCCGTAATTTTTTGGACCCACTTTTTGGGGGGTCCAAAAAAAATTTGGCCCCCCAAAAAAAATTGTGTTCTGGATCCGCCCTTGGTGGACAAGTGACGACTCGGAATTAGTCTTGGTGCGAGACTGGATTTGGAATTTATTTCCCCCTTTATGGCCGGCCGGGACAGCGAGGTCGCTATCAACAAGATGGGTCAAATCCAGTCTTTGCAATATTGGCAGCGCTACCCAGGAAATTCCGAGCTATGTATATAGGAATTTCCTGGGAGGCGCTGCCAATATTGCAAAGACTGAATTTGAGGCCTCCGCCACCGCAGCAATTTTAACCTCGTTTGTCTGGCTGCAAATAGGGGAACCGGCTGCAAAATACGGGAACACACATATCTACTGGCTCAAAGATTTTGATGGGCATCGTCTCTAGAAATGCATTATCTGGCATGGGTCTTGCCACAGTGACACTCTGATGATAGTATAGACACCTTGAACGTTCGTACGTCCCACCGAAAGATGTCGAGCGCCCTCTTACGTTCATGCTGTTGAAAACCGAACTTCGCTCGTATCACAGGCCCAGCCTGGGAAGCAAACCAGAAAGGTTTAACCCTGTAAAACAAATTCCATCCAATGAGAGCTCAAAGATTTTGAGGTTGCCACCACAAAAGAAGGTGGCTAGATGGGTGTATGTGGATGTAAACACCCCCCCCCTCCCCCCTCCGACGTTTTTTTTTCGGAAAAAAAATTGTCGTTCTGTCGGCAAAATCCTGTCGGTCGGGAAATACGCCTTGATGGCTCAACGAAGGGCGCAATTTATTGTGGGAGAGTGGCCAAGATCGTTTGCTTTTACAGCTCCTCCAATAGCCAGTCCATGTCCCCCACCATCCCATCCCCACCCCCTCCTTCCAGACTGCTTAATTTTGCGACAAAGGCAGGCTGACCTGGACAACACCTGATATATGACTACCATCATCAGTTACGCGAACTACAACGATTGCGTGCATGATCGAGAAGAGAGGGAAACAGTTCCTCACAACGGCAGATAGATAGCGGATAAACGCGTGACATTCCAACCAATGCCAATCGGTGTGGATAACTTATCACTTCCGAATTGCTATCAATCCAAACAGTCGTTTCCCGCCAATTTGCCTTCCGTGTTTCCCGCTCACAGGAATATCTTCCTCTCAAGGTCTCTGGACTTTAACAATAGACGACATGCACGAAACCCCTTTTTGTACTCACTAATTAATGCTGAGCAAGTTGTATTTGTTTTATGAACACGTGAAGGTCAATTTGTGTTTTTTTTGCAAAATGGCTACCAGCGTGGTTGATGTTAAAGAAGCGGGTTTTTTTTACAGGACTTTCTTTTTACAAAAGAAAATTAATAGTTGGCATCTTGTTTGCAAAAGATTTCCTACCCCCTACATTCAGTTCTGTTTTGGCGGTGTTTTTGTTTGTTGGTTATTTTTTGTTTGTTGGTTATTTTGGGGGTTTTTTTGGTTATTTTTGCTTGTTAGTTATTTGTTGGGGGTTCACCAGTATTAAATGATTGCTACGGTTATTTAACTAGTGAATTGTGACGAGTTTCTTTGGGATGAGGGATCATTGTTTTTTACCAGTGTTTGCAACCTACTTTAAGGATCCCAAAAGATAATTAAAATGTCAAACTGTATATCTTCTGTTTGTTAATTTGTTTGTATTGTCTAATAATATAGTAAGTGTTTAGTTAACGTTTGCTGGTTCAGAGTTAGTTTGCGGTTAGAGCAGGGCTGGTCAGAGGTTCCTTTATAGGCCTAGGCTAAAGTGGATATATTTCAAATAAGTGACAAACGGTGCCATTTATAGTGTACCAATTTTGAATAGGATATCAGATCGAGCCATGCATGTTGAAAGTTCAAACAAAGTTCAAGTCCATGGTCAGGGTAAGAACACGTGCCAAGCATCATGTGTAATCTATACATATCACGTCCACATTACCCTTGAGACATGCAAAATGAATCATAGAATACAATCAAAATCCACAAGTATATAAGGAAAGCCCCAAATATCATTGTGGTTGAGTGGGCGTAGCGGCATGCATAGTCATGTGAGCCGAAACTTTGCTGAATGGTGTTAAAGTCATCACTTCTCTGATCAGTTTAGCATCAGAATTAGGCCTATCCTTGATGCTAGGCCAACAGAGTTCATAGTACCAAAGGGAGTTCAATTGATTTTTCCGTGTTAGGGTAATAGATTAATAATACTTTTCACATGAACATGAACAGCTCCAGGCTCTTACCGCGAAGAATTCAACATGGTCTTGGAACAAGACTAGATGCAATCCCATCGCGCAGCTATAACTCGTGAATTATTCATAATAATTCAAAGTGAAGCCAAAGTTTATTCCAGAGCGCGGAATTTTTTTTGCGAGTAGCCTAAACCTGATCTACTTTGCCCACCCGCGATGCTCTCAGCTGATTAGTTGACTTCGTGATGACGTAGCATGTTGTACGCGCAACTTGGAATGAACGCGAAGCATGTAATGTTGTAAGGGACCAGCTGGCAGCGCAGCTGACTCACTGTTTTCCCCGGTTTTTTTCATGGCAGCAGTGACCACCTCTGTCACAAATGTCACCAGGGGCCTGCACAGCTCATTAGGAAAACCCAACGGCCCTGCCATTGAAACAATCAACAGCCAGTCAATCATTGTCTGGTGCTGTCCCGTTCATGTCACACACCATTTATACAACCACACGGTAGTAAAGTAAGCTGTATTACCGGGAGCTCGTGAGGTGCAAGCACCGGTAGCTGGAGTTGTCGTCCCCGTGGCTTCTGCACTGAGCGCAGCCTGGTGATGAATTAGCCAGCGCCGACCCTGCTGCGGATAAAGATCATTGCCCTTGGAGTGCGAACAGTCTTGCTCAAAAATAGACAGTCTGGACAAGAGGACAATCAACCCAGACCCTTCTTGCTCGTCTCAAATTGGGACATCGTTCTGAATGTTGCAAGCCATTGTTCTTGCAATAAACATCGCTCAATATCATCTATACATCAGTTTAACAAAAGGAAACGTCACCAGAACCTGACCAAGAGCCTGCCAGGTGGACAACCAGCAGTCTGGGTTGGTGTTTCGTTTTGTTTCGAGAAGACATCCGAGCTATGGAAGTACTACGGAACTTGGCGGCATGCGGCAGCCACATGGCGGCCGTACGGAGGTTCTTTTGGACCGGTTGCTTTGCCCTGTCTGTCTTGTACATTTTCCTACCGTCTGCGATGTGCCAAGGTGGTACGTATCCTTCGCAAGGGGCTTCCAGTGGTCATCGCTATCGGGCACGGTGAGTTCTTACGAGTGTTTGATAAAAAAATTGCTGTATACTCTGAAGAAATAGTATAGGGAACCTGACGTAATAGATGTACCATTTATCCAGAGTCGAAGCGGTATGACCTGGGCAAGGAGGTATATAATGCCTAAATTTAATAATTGTGTCATCATTCCAGTATTTTTGTTTTGTTTTAACTGTTGCCTTAATATTGTAAACAAGATTTTCATATTTGGGCATGTAGATTGATTTAATGATCATGACATTGATATAATGTCAGGAATGAGATGTTTTCAAACGTGGTGAGCTATGAAGTATGAGGGGTTTGGAGGGGGCTCCGGCTGTGGCCTCCTCGAAATAAGCAATGGCAGGCAATAGGCCTACTGGGGCCTACATGCAGTAAGGCCCAAAATGGGTGCTGAAATTCACGTTGTATCTAATTCTAAACTTTCATGAAAGCAACAAAAACATGTTCCAATGTATTAATAAACAAAGGAATGAAAATAGAGTGACAATAAAATACACACCAGAGTCATTTTGTCGGCTGGTCTAGAACCATATAATTCGAGTGCGTAATCTTCATACAACAGTTTCACAGAAATAGAATACTGGCGATAAACATATACTGTAAAGCATGCACTACATTCTACAAGCGTTGACAGTCCGTTACATCGCAAGCTTCCTGCCACATTCATACCAATCTTCTTATGTTTGCTAATTAGCGCCCAAACAGGAAGCGAAACACAGCCCAACCCTTGTCCAAATGCGAACGTCACTCAGGATCAGACTGGTTACACCCCACTAGTATAATGCCCCGTGGCATTCGCGTTATGCATAATGATCGAAGTTGAACATGATGAATCAAGGAACAGTCGAAGGCCTTAAACATTCCGCAGGACCAAACTTTGTGGGGTTTGCCGGAAGGACTACTTTGCTCTCACAGTCGATGATCCAGTTTTCCTTGCCCTAAGCATACTGAGAAAATGTTTCGGTATCTGGTAAAAGTTGCACTAAAAGCTGCACCATCTGGTCACAATTGATTAAAATCTCTCGTGGATAATCTACGCTCATCTCATGTCACTCGGGGGAATTTTGTTGTGGTTTTAGCGTGATGGCGGCCGCTCTAATGGTGTAACCTCCGTGCCAAGGAAAACGGTTGCCCCACGTGTGCCACACATTGCGAACCCATCGGCACGACAAGGTTTAACAGATGTGATGGCTATTATTGTCGTGTCGGAAATAATTACACAGAGAACAGACGGTGGAAATTTGACTCAGAAAACTTCGTAGATCAAGAGTGTGCAGTGCACTCTATTATATTGCAGGTTGTGCGACCCTGCTGTTAAAATACGTTAGCGTTAAACAAAAAAAAGAGGGCGTTTAAAATTTTTTAAGAATTTGTTGATCGATGCATCGATGGTTACAAGAAAATCCAAGATGGCTGCCCCGTGGTCTCTGCATACGTTTTGTGGGATAATTCAACCACAGCTTGTTTTACTTTCTAATCTGAGACTTTTTAGCATCAATAAGTTGAGGTAAAAATGGTGACACCGAATCTCGTTAACTGGTAGAAAACCTTGATATAAAATCGGTTCTTATGTTGATCACCTGATGATCACGTGATCAAGAGTGAAGCATAAGTTTGACATTTGATTGATTTGAACATGACAGCGAGGAAATGTTTAACATGCGGACACCAGCCTTTGTTTGGCTGCATGATCATGATGCACATGGTTACCAGGCGGAAGTAACAATGGAAATGACATTGGGCATCCCTAGTTCCCACAGCCGGAGCATTCACATGCATGTGGTTTAAGTACGCATGTTTGTCTCATGTGCTGCAACTTTTAATCACATTATAGAGTTGACATGTTAAGTCAATCTTCAATGTCCTCCTGGATTGAACAGTAGTTCAAGGTTAATCCCAGGCCAACAAAAAATGTGTTTTTCCTCCGAACTGTCACTGGCAAGCCGGACCTTTCAACATATAATAACTGTAACAGGAGGCCAATTCCCAAACGTGCTTTCCTTTGATCATTGATTGTGCCGAGATAAACATTGACAGACATCGGGAAAGGGGACAAGGTGGAACCACATGAAACGGAAAGAAAGGTCATCAGGTGTGGAATGATGAAGAGAATAAGCCGTGTTCGATGGTTCATCTCTTACAACCCTCCCGAAGTTTTGTTTCTCATGTATTTTGATGTAACAAAATATCTATCCCTTTCGATTATCACTTTCGGTAAGATCAGTAAATCGTCGTCTGGTGTTCTTAGAAATAAAACATCTGCTTTCATAGCATGATTTATTTCTGTGTGTTTGACTTCCGATGGTTTGTGTCGATTCCCGACCCTGCAACTACCGAAATTAGGGCACCCGTTGTGCCCCAATGGGCACCAAGCTGGTAAATCAATTATCAAAAAGTGGAAAAATTCGGTGGGAAACTCTTTTCCAGAGATGACGGCAAACTTGTAACTCTTGCAAGGCGTTGTTACGGGAACGAGGTCAAGCGGAGCGGGAGCAAACGGTGAGGCAACTGGGGAGGCAGGGTGCGAATCCTCGGCGGGTGAGGAGGTCTTTTCCCGGTCGGTGAGCAATAATACTTAATATGCACGCTGCTTGTTTATAAATTGTGGTAATTTCTGACGATCAAAGCAAACAGCAGGAATCAAATCACTTCAGCTGTTGTTGAAATGTTCGTTCGATTGGCAGCCTAAGAGTATGAATGTTGGATGTTTTGAGGTTAAGTTTGAGGCACGGCAAGCAAAGATTTTGGTGTATCATTTTGTCATTTCCAGTTCTTTACTCGACCATAAGTGGCATAAATTTAGGGCAATGCATAAGACATCATGAGACCTTGAAGGTTTTGCCAAAGATTGTGATGTAGAATAGGAAAATAAACAAGTCATAATTTCTCCAATTAATTTTCACCAGCTTTCAAAGGATTGCATTCATTTTTTGCTCTACCGTCAAATAAATTGGTTGATTGAGAACCTTGTTTCTTGAGCCCGTGCCATATTCTTGCATTCTTGGACCCTCTTCACTCGTGACGTCACTAGTACTTCAGGGTCAACGGCACAGGCCACAGCATTGATGTGGTCATTCAACTGACCCGAAGGCTCTTGAGGAATAAACAGAGAGTCGTCCAATCTTATCCAATTTGGATCAATATGGTCAACAGGTCTCTTTGGAAGTCTTGAACTCCCATATCTGGCAGACATTTTGTCATAGAGGTCATTTAGTAATTCCCCATTATCTACTCTTGAACTTCACCGGTGACAAGTTGTGCCAGAATGCGGTTTTGTCAAAGTCCCATTGTCTGTGCAGCAGAGACCTTTGTGGTAATAATTCTTTGGCTCGGTCTTGACATTGTGATTACACATCTTCGGACATTAGTTGTGTGGTCTTGACGCCTGCCTGGGCCTTGTGTTATCATATCATTACAGGCTAAACCACAATTACTATACTTTCCCTTTGTCGTCTGAATCAATCGCAACCACAATGTGGAAGGTTTCTTCTCTGAGGACAAAGAGACAAATGCCTTGATTCTCTACATCTTATCTTGACAGTGGCAGTGCAACAACAATAACCGTTAATGGAAAGGTCCTTCCAAAATTGGCACAAGGTAACCGGATATGTGACAGCTATTTGCTAAAAAGTTACAGGGACAATATTTCTGAACTACAGTATTTCGAAATGACTCCCACTCGCGGTGATGCATAATATGGACCGTGACTTTGCTCTCCCTCTAGTTATCGCTGGAATTCTGCACAATTTAATCTTGAACTTTGAAAATTTTCAAAATAATCAAGAACTCACATTATTAACTCGAACAACAAACTTCCGCATCTATCATTTGATTGGAAATTCGTGTCACCGTATGAACCCTTTAGAAATTATAAAGGTGAATGTTCCTCCAGACTTAACGAAAAACAGGTGTATATGACAAAACGAAGATTCCTGTGAATTTATGGTAGGGACATATGTTAACCACATGCCATTTCATTTCATTTCATTGCAGGTTTATCGTGATTGATGTGTGTATTAAATGACTCATGAAATGATATTCGCATCTGGTATCCCCGGCCTACATTCATGTACGAAATTAATGACATTAATATAAAGTTGGCCTTTTTTTTAAGTGTTTTTCCCCAAATTATTTACAACACCCTTTCTGTGTCATGACACCTGCCAGGGCAGTGATTCACTGTACACTTAATTACATACGAATTTGAGTGCAAACCACTTTTGTATAAGAATGTTCAGGCTTATTCTGTGCTCCTCGATTGGTTGCCTGTTCCTATCAACAGAAAAATCGCATAAGGACAAAAAATACAGATGTCGATAAAAAAAAATCTCAACTCTCTCTATCTTTTCCACGCTAACCTTTCCTTCACGCTGTCATTTGCACTGGATGTTTAATACGAAGTTAATTTTTTGCTGAACAGAAGTTTAAAATAATGAAATATTGAGTTTGCTGAAAGTTATGGCTATTCTAACTTTTTAAATGACAGATTTCTTTCAGACTTGAACTTGAGGCAGAGTTTATTTTCATATAGTTCCGAGTTCAACTTCTTGTGTCTATGAGTGACAAATTGGATTAAGTTTCAGTTTGGAGAGATTTCCTGTATGAGTCTTGAGATGTCAGTTTGTGGAATCAAGGGCACTAACAAGCGTCTTCTTCAATCTTCAACGTGTGCACGACCCTTCTCCAAGAACATCATGTGTAATTATGTATACGCTGCTGATTGTTGAGTGCCAGATGTTAATGCACTGTGACAAATGTTAATTGTTTGCCTCCGGCCAATTCGCAAATATTATTTTAAAACAACATCCTTGCCAAGAAAGTTGGAGTGTTGCAATACATCTTGGGACACGAACGAACAAAGTACAAGTTTTGCTCTTTTTTGTTTTGTTTTGTTTTTGTTTTTTGCTCTCAAATACATTTATTTTCCAGAATTGCGTAACTGCTCGCAGACAATCCGTTCAGCGAGTGGTGTCTTGGTGGCGTGATG